ATAACCAAAAAAAAAAAGAAAAAAAAAAAACAAAACAAACTGAATTAGCCATGTTTTTCCCAGATGCCATCTTGGATGTACCTGGGACATTAAGCAAATGAAAACATTCTGTGAAAGCGAAAACCACACGCCACAAACTTTTCAAATTAACTTTTAAGCATCCTAAACCAAACGAGTGAGATGGTGATAGCCGTTGTARATTATTTTCCTCCTAATTTTATTTTTTGGGGAGTTCTGTTAATCATGTCCTAAAATGTTGGCTTACATTAGATATTAACAAAACCTCACTGAAAAATTAAAGCACAGATTTTGGAAGGGGAAATAATTTGTTTTGCAAATCTAATTCAAGTGGCATTTAACATTTTCAGTTTGAAAGAGTAAGAGTGATCTACAAATATGCCTTGGATAGAATTCCAAAACAGGCAGCACAAAACCTMTTCAAGAATTATACCATCTTTGAGAAGAAGTTTGGTGATAGAAGGGGAATTGAGGACATCATTGTCAGCAAGAGGAGATTCCAATATGAAGAGGAGGTGAAGGTATGTATTGGAAACATCCTGTGGGCTCCTCGCACACAGGTGCTGCTTCAGCAACTGGAGCACCTCATGACACAAAGGCTAAGTTTTACCCTCCATCCTTAAGCCCCAAATTCCCTATTTACCTTTATGCTTTTTGGAGGGATGATTCTCTCTATAGGGGAAAGAATTGTACCTAACTTCTTTTCACAGCCTTTTTTTTTTTTTTTTTCCTTCCCCTGCCCTCCCCCTGCAGTCTAAATAGACTGTGGCTGCAGAATTTGTGGTTGCAGGGAGAACTCTRTTCTTTGCAGTCATCCTAGGGCAATATGCAGTTCAGCTGGTAACTTATTTCACTTCTGTTAACACAGCAGCTTCTACAGGAGTCCTCCTCTGYATAAATTTCTCTTTCTTGGGAAGTAAACATGCCAACCCTATCTGTTATCCATTGAATTGCTGAGCACTGCAGATTTTCATTCCTTACCCTCTCACCGTTTGGTGAGTCTTCACTCAGTGTGGTGTGGGTATTTTTTTTTTTTTTTAGATTGAAAACAAGTAAGTTAAAACCCACCCTCTCAAAAGCCTGTTTTTACTATGCCTGAGACTGGCAACTTTCATTAGAATCATAGAATGCTTAAGGTTGGCAGGGACCTCAGAGGTCATCTAGTCCAACCCCCTGCTCACGCAGGGTCACCTAGAGCACATGGCACAGGGCTGCGTCCAAGCGGGTTTTAAAGATCTCCAAAGAAGGAGACTCCACAACCTCCCTGGGCAGCCTGTTCCAGGGCTCTGTCACCCTCACTGTCAAGTAATGTTTCCTCAAGTTCCTGTGGAACTTTTGGTGCCTCAGCTTGTGGCCGTTTCCTCTAGTMCTRTCGCTGGCCACCACTGAAAAGAGGCCACCTCCTCCTCACTGCCTCCCTTGAGGTATTTATACACACTGATCAGGTCCCCCCGCAGCCTGCTCTTCTCCAGGCTGAACAGGCCCAGCTCCCTCAGCCTTTGCTCATAGGGCAGATGTTCCAGGCCCCTGATCATCCTCGTAGCCCTGTGCTGGACTCTCTCCAGCAGCTCCACATCCCTCTTGTACTGGGGAGCCCAGAACTGGACGCAGTACTCCAGATGTGGCCTCACCAGGGCTGAGTAGAGGGGGACGATCACCTCCCTCGACCTGCTGGAGACGCTCTTCTTAATGCACCCCAGGATCCCGTTGGCCTTCTTGGCCACCAGGGCACGTTGCTGCCTCATGGTCATCTTGTCATCCACCATGACGCTGAGGTCGCTCTCTGCGGGGCTGCTCTCTAGCAGGTCCACTCCTAATCTGTACTGGTATCCGGGGTTATTCCTCCCCAAGTGCAGGACCCTGCATATGTCCTTGTTGAACTTCATGTGGTTTCTAACCGCCCAGTTGTCCAGTCTGTCCAGGTCCCTCTGGATGGCAGCACAGCMCTCAGGGCTATCAGCTACTCCTCCCAGTTTGGTATCATCAGCAAACTTGCTGAGGGAGCACTCCAGCCCTTCATCCAGGTCGTTAATGAATAAGTTGAACAGGACCGGACCGAGGACCAACCCCTGGGGGACACTGCTAACTACACGTCTCCAACTAGACTCCACGCCACTGACTACCACTCTCTGCACCCTGCCACTGAGCCAGTTCCTAATCCACCTCCCCGTCCACTCATCTATCCCACACCTTCGGAGCTTGCCCGGGAGGATGCTGTGAGGGATGGTGTCAAAAGCCTTGCTGAAGTCCAGATGGATGACATCAACTGCTCTGCCCTCATCTATCCAGCTAGTCACTCCTTCATAGAAGGCGATCATGGGCCCCACCAGGGCCCATGGATTTGTGGGTGTAGAGTTTCCTTAGGTGCTCTCTGACCCACTCTTCCTCTACCCAGGGCAAGCCTTCCTCTCTYCAGCTCACTTCTTGAGTCCCTAGGGCCTGGGATTCTAGAGGGCTGCCCCTGACAAACACRGAAGCAAAGGCAGCATTCAGCAGCTCTGCTTTCTCCGTGTTTTCTGTAACCAGGGTACCCACCCCGTTCACTAGTGGACCCACATTCTCCCYSACCTTCCTCTTGTTGTTAATATATTTGAAAAAAATTTTCTTGTTGCTCTTAACATCCCTTKCCAGATTTAGTTCCAAGTGTGCCTTGGCTTTCCTTGTAGCATCCCTGCGTTCCCTGACAACGCTCCTGTATTTCTCCCAAGGGGCCTGTCCTTTCTTCCACATTCTGTATATTGCCTTCTGCTGGAGTTTTGCCAGGAGCTCYCTGCTCATCCACGCAGGTCTCCTGCCCCCTCTGCCTSACTTCTTACGCAYAGGGATGCACTGTTGCTGGGCATGGTGGAAATGCCGYTTGAAAACTAACCAGCTCTCCTGGGCCCCTCTTCCTTCTAGAGCCCTAGCCCATGGGATCTTTTCCAGCAGGTCTCTGAAGAGGCTAAAGTTGGCCCTCCTGAAGTCCAGSGTGGCAAGGCTACTTACTGCCCTGCCTCCTCCTCGTTGGATCCTGAACTCTACCAGCTCGTGGTCACTGCAGCCAAGGCTGCCCCCCACCTTCACATCTTCAACCAGGCCCTCTCTGTTTGTTAGTATGAGGTCCAGCAGCCCACCTTTCCTTGTTGGCTCCTCCACAACCTGCGTCAAAAAGTCGTCATCGACGCACTGTAGAAACTTCCAGGACCGTTTGTGCCTTGGTGTGCTGTCTTTCCAGCTGATGTCTGGGTAGTTAAAGTCCCCCATGAGAACCAGGACCTGTGACTGTGAGGCAACTTCCAGCTGCCTGTAGAAGGCCTCATCAGCCGCCTCCTCCTCCTGGTCAGGTGACCTGTAGCAGACACCCACCACAGTGTCTCCCACATTGGCCTGCCCTTTAACCCTTACCCACAAGCTCTCCACCCGCTCATCATCCACTCCCAGGTTGAGCTCCATGCATTCCAGTTGCTCTCTCACATTCAGAGCAACTCCACCACCTCGCCTTCCCAGCCTGTCCTTCCTAAAGAGCACATAGCCCTCCATGACAGCACTCCAATTGTTTGAGCTATCCCACGTTTCTGTGATTCCTATGAGATCGTGGTGCTGGGACCGCACACAGATCTCCAGCTCGTCTTGCTTATTCCCCATGCTTCGTGCATTGGTGTATAAACGCTTCAGGGAGGTAATGGAGCCTGAACTTTTTCCAGGAGGCGTAAAAGCGGACCCTCTATAATCACGTCCTAGCCATACTTCCCCACCACCATAGGCCTGTTGGATGGCCATTGACTTAGGTTGTAGGAGATTGATTGCCCAGTTCATATGAYACTCCCCTTTCCGCTTCTTGCTCAGTTTAAAGCTCTCCTAACAAGATTGGCAAGTCTTTTGGCAAATACCCRCCTGCCCTTCTTGGTGAGGTGGATCCCATTGCCCTCCACTAGCTGGTAGTCATCAGAGTCCTGTGATCATAGAATCCAAAACCTTGCTGCCAACACCAGTGGCACAGCTAGTTGTTGATTTCCAATATCCGTTTTCTCCTACTTGAATCCATTCCCCTCATTGGAAGGAGGGAGGAGAACACTACCTGGGCTCCCAGTTAATATTCCAATAGCCATTTTAAAGGAGAAAGGCTGAATAAAAACTGTGTGTAAAAGAACAGGATTTTTTTCCTTCAGAGTTATTGAAGTTTCTTTCTCATTCCCTTGCTCTTGTGTTCCTGGAAGGCAAATCCACATAATTATGATGCGTGGTTTGACTATTTGAGGTTAGTTGAAAGTGATGCAGATGCTGACACTGTGCGAGAAGTGTATGAGAGAGCCATTGCCAACGTTCCCCCCCTTCAAGAGAAGAGACACTGGAAGAGATACATCTATCTTTGGATTAATTATGCATTATATGAAGAGCTGGAGGCAAAGGTAAGTAGTACAAATTCCATTATTGTTTTCTTTGCAGATTTTTTTTTACTTACGTTAAGTAGCTGCAACAGATACTTTCATTTTATAAGAAATAAAGAAGAAAATGGGGAACTAAATATATCTTGTTTTGTATAATCAGCATTTGCTCTTTAAGAGGTTTTTTTTTTCCCCCTCCCCTAACAAGGCAGATCTAGATGCTGCACATGAAGGAAAAGAAAAAGTATTTCCCTTTTACCCAAAGTCATCCAGAAATATGCTGATCAATAAAAGCACAAGTAGGTCTTTCAAGCTCTGTTTGAATTACCAGTTCGAGGCTGTTGTCTGGACTTGTGAAATGGTTTGGTATTAARCAGAAGTATTTGTGAAGTTGTTCTATAAAGCAGCCAGACATTCTGAGATTGTGTAGGTATTTCTTCTCTGTTTGTTAACACAATTTTAATATTACAGTATAGCTGTTCAGAGTCCACTAAAAATTTTCCCCAAAACAATTTTTAGGGAGTTGTGGTCTAAATCTTAGTATTAAATTTTCTTGYAAAAAGATTACTCTCACTGACTCTTAGAAGGTGCAAACAAATAAGCAGGCATATATGTTTAAGTATACAGGATTCTTAACATCTGGTCTTAAACATACTCTAGTACTGTTCAATGTGGCAAGTGTTGCATATTTCAAAACACAGTGGGATCTTAGCAGTGAATGAGGAGTTGAATCTTGCCTGTTCTTGCAGGATCCGGAACGAACCAGGCAGGTGTATCAGGCATGTGTCGAGCTCCTTCCGCACAAGAAGGTATGGCTTCTTCGGCAGTTTGGATCAAGTCTTAGCCTGAATCTCCAAAATCCTTGAATTTTCTTTCCCTGCTCTCGCCACTTGCTAGTCCTGAAGCCACCTGGTTTATCCTCAGTCACTGCAGTGAAGAGAACACGGTTCTGGTGCGTGCSTCTCTCCGAATGATACTGGCACCTTCCTAAAGCTCCTGCTTGGGAGCAGGGGAGGTGTTTACCCAAGGAAGATTTTCAGTGACTTCCTTCCAGCAGCATTCATTTTGTCTCCCAAAATGGACMACTTTTTCTTCAGTTAAGGTGTTAGATGGCTACAAATTCCATGCTCAGTGGGGGACAGCAGGCCACACACTGGTGTTTGTTGCCTAGTACAAGCAACATAGTGCAGCCATCATGCAAGGGTATATTCGGGTTACCCAGTTTACTTTAAAAAGCTGAAATTGTATGCAGGCAGAGGATGGCTTAGTGCCATTAGCAATAGGGGAGAACTTTATCTCCATTTTTTTTTTTTTTTCTTTTTTTTTCTTTTTTTTCTTTTTTTCCTCCTTGCTTGCTTGTTTCTCCTCAGGCCAACATCTTGGTAAACATCTTTAGGGCTGCCCTTCTTTGAGACTGACTTTCTCTTCTGTGGCAGTGAGGGTAATTAATTACAATTAATTAATTGCAATTAAATTCAAAAGCCACGTGGCCTTTGAAACAATTAACCAACTTTGCCCTGGAATGCCACAAAATCTTAGGCAGTATATATTTCCTCTTCTAACGTGACAATTAATCATGTCGTCTGCCATAATRATAATTAGCTATTAATTGATATAGTAGTATGCTAAACATTTGATTTGTTTGGGGATACTTCCCATGCTGGCCGTTACTACTTTTATCCATGATGGAGAAAATTGTCCTTTCTTAGAAAGTCTCTTTTGGGTTAAGAACTCTCAACGTTTCAGCAGGAAAATGTTGGAGTAAAACACAACAAATTGTGGTAGCAGTAACATTTGTATAGTCTATGTATGCAGCATCATTTATTAAGCTTCCAATTCAGGCATCTTTTTTTTCCCCCCCTCCCCCCTTCAGTTCACATTTGCCAAAATATGGCTGCTGTATGCACAGTTCGAAATACGACAGAAAAATCTTCCACTTGCCAGAAGAGCTTTGGTAAGTAAAAGAAGGGGTTAATTCCATAATTGCCTTAACTAACTAATGACAGCAAGAGAATGGCATTAAGAGATCTTAAATTGTTCTTTATGAATTGCTGGTTTATCCATTTAAGTAAAGCATCCTAGAAGTCTGCAGGCACCACTGTTGGCTGCCATGTATGGTTAAAATAAAGAAGCGTAGCAGGAGACATGGTCAATTAGCTGCTGGTGGAAATCAATGCAGCTTTCTCATTTCAGCTGGCAAAACGCTCATCTGGATAGCAACAGCACCCAAATGAGCTTAGTGCTTGTAGATTTAGACTTGTAGATTTTTAGCTGCTTAAATGATTGCCTAAATGATGTCTCTGCTAAAGTAGCTGAAATACGGAAATGTAGTTTGCTCAGTTTCTTTGAGGCTTCACTTTTTGATAGCTTTTTTTCCTTCAATAGTTTTACTTATTTGACAGACTTGTTCTTAGTATGTCACGTCCTGTTTTGGAAAGCAGATTTTTGATGCAGCCATCAAACCAGCTGTGATGCTTTGGACTGGGCCTAAATTTAGCAAGCAATTCCTTTGTCCACTGTTAAATAAYAGTGGTGGGCCAGGAGCCAGTTTTTCTTTGCTAAGATTTATATTATGGATTAACTGCTTACAGAGCTTTCTTTACAGAGCCCAGGTTAAAGAGAGAGAACTGGGAGAGAGAAAGACTTTCTGCTGGCTGAGGAAGACTGGGTTAGGGCTTATTTAGGCAAACTGGTCACCCATAAATCTAAGGGCCTGGATGGGGTGCGCCCAAGAGTGCTGAGGGAAATGGCAGGGGTTATTGCTCAGCTGCTTTTCATCATCTTTGAGAGGTCATGGAGAGCAGAGGAGGTGCCGGAGGACTGGAAGAGAGCCAACAACACTCCAGTCTTCAAGAAGGGCAAGAGGGAGGAGCCAGGAAACTACAGGCTGCTCAGCCTCACCTCTGGAAAGGTGATGGAGCAGCTCATCCTAGAGAGCATCTCTAGGCATATGAAGGAAAAGGTGATCAGGAGTAGTGAGCATGGATTCACCAAGGGGAAGTCATATTTGACCAACCTGATAGCCTTCTACGATGGGATGACTGGCTGGCTGGATGAGGGGAAGAGCCGTGGATGTTGTCTACCTTGGCTTCAGCAAGGCTTTCGACACTGTCTCCCATAACATCCTTTTAGGAAAAACCCTGAAGTGTGGACTGGATGAGTGGACAGTGAGGTAGATTAAGACCTGGCTGAATGGCAGRGCTCAGAGGATGGTGATAAATGTGGCGGAGTCCAGTTGGAGGCCTGTGGCCAGTGGTGTCCCCCAGGGGTCAGTACTGGGCCYGGTGCTGTTCAACTTGTTYATCAATGACCTGGACAAGGGCACTGAGTGCACCCTGAGTAAGTTTACAGATGATACCAGGCTGGGTGGAGTGACCAACACTCCGGAGGGCTGTGCTGCCATCCAGAGGGACCTGGACAGGCTGGAGAGTTGGGCAGAGAGGAACCTCATGAGGTTCCGTAAGGACAAGTGCAGGGTCCTGCACCTGGGGAGGAATAACCCCAGGCATCAGTACAGATTAGGGGTTGACCTGCTGGAAAGCAGCTCTGCGAGCTGGAAGTCCTCGTTGACACCAAGTTGTCCATGAGGCAGCAGAGCCTTGTGGCCAAATGGGCTCCTGGCTGCASCAGCAGGATGTTGCCAGCAGGTGGTGGGAGGGGATTCTKCCCCTCTGCTCAGCTCTAGTGAGGCTGCACCGGGAGTATTGGGGGCAGTTTTGGGCTCCCTAGGACAAGAGGGACGTGGAGCTTCTAGAGAGAATCCAGTGGAGGGCAACAAAGATGATTAAGAGATTGGAACATCTCTCATATGAGGAGAGAATGAGTGAGTTGGGCCTGTTTAATCTGGAGAAGGTTGAGAGGGGATCTGATTAACATGTATAAGTACCTGAAGGATGAATATAGGGAGGAAGGGGCCAAGCTCTTCTCATTGGTGGCCAGTGACAGGACAAGGGGTAGTGGGTATAAGTTGAAGCACAGGCAGTTCCATCTGCTTGTGAGGAAGAACTTCAGTGTGAGGGTGACAGAGCCCTGGCACAGGCTGCCCAGGGAGGTTGTGGAGTCTCCTCTGCAGATCTTCCAGACCCACCTGGATGTGACTGGGTRCCTTGTGCTCTAGGTGTCCCTGCTGGAGTAGGGGGGCTGGACTAGATGATCTCTAGAGGTCCCTTTCAACCCAAACCATTCTGTGATTCGTTAATGAATCAGGATTTCAACTCATAATTCATGGGGAATCCATATTACTTAAGAGTATTGAACAAGTTTAGAAAATTTTCTGTTCTCAGAGTTTCTATTGCTATTTATGGATACATACTATCTAAACACTGATTATATTTCATAGTGGTCCTGATCAGCCTGAGAAATTCTCAAAATTGAATTTTAATTCAAATACTGMAACAGTAAAAGGTTGTTCACAAAAGAGGGTAGTATGAAACCTTCCTCCAAGACCTCAGAGTGTTCCTTTTTTCCTCCYCCCTTCTCCCCCCCCAAAACAGGGGACATCCATAGGTAAATGTCCAAAAAACAAACTCTTCAAAGGTTATATTGAATTGGAATTACAACTGCGAGAATTTGATCGTTGCCGAAAGCTGTATGAAAAATTCTTGGAGTTTGCACCAGAGAACTGCACATCGTGGATTAAATTTGCTGAACTGGAGACCATTCTGGGGGATATTGACAGAGCCCGTGCAATATATGAGCTGGCTATTGGCCAGCCCCGGCTGGACATGCCTGAGGTAAGGGGAGAGAGGAAGTCGGAGGTAATGAAATTTGAAGGCATTTATTGCCTAGTGGCTGGTAAAATATAAATATTTGAACAGAAATGCTTATCGTAGATGAGAGACAAACTAAGCCCYTAATTTAGCCTCTTTCTTGACAGGTTAGTTGGGGCAATAAAACCCATGATAGAGAGGGAGAAATATACTTACAGTGATACTTTTCTATCCCTAAACAGCTAGTTAGCATTAATGCTTAGGTAGAACAGTCAATTAATACAGAGTTGTKAACTGTATTTCTACAAATTCTGTGTTTACTCATGCTCTGCCTTTATGAAATATATATTTTTCCCCATTTTCTCAGTAGCAGATACAGTGTCATTTGAWGATGCTGTGAGCAGCAGCAGAGACTTTTCTTTTACAGGTTCTTTGGAAGTCCTATATTGATTTTGAAATTGAGCAAGAAGAGTATGAGAACACAAGAAACCTGTACCGCAGGCTACTTCAGCGGACCCAGCACGTTAAGGTAGGTGCACGGCCCACGTGACTGTGTCTTCCTTGTAGTCAGGGCTCGTGGCTGATCCTTGGCCATGCTCATTTGGTGGCTCTTCCAAATCAGCTGTGAACTTTAGGGCTGTGCCATGAAAAGGTGGGAAAAAAAACCCTTAATGGTGTTTAACAGCAGCTGTTTTTTCTATGAGAAAAAAAGCTCTAAAAAGCTTTCTAAAGCAGCCTTCTTCTTATAGAACAGCTTTGGACTTTTATGACAAGAAAAAAAAAAAAAAAAAAAAAACAGTGGGGAAGAAAAACTACACACACCTGACTTTTTCCTTGCAGTCTCGTCTGATGCTCAAGTTTGACTAAAATCAAACACTTATCTTCACCCCAAACAACTACAATAAATTTGCCCAAGTGGTTTACATGAAGGTTAGGGTTACCTACTTATTTATAAAGAAAAATAAAACAACTTGGGTTTGTTTTACTTTCCCCACAGGTGTGGATCAGTTTTGCCCAGTTTGAGCTTTCTGCAGGAAAGGAGGAGAATTTGCCAAGATGCCGGCAAGTTTATGAAGAGGCCAATAAGGCAATGCGGAACTGTGAGGAGAAGGAGGAGAGAGTCATGCTCCTGGAATCCTGGAGAAACTTTGAACAGGAGTTTGGAACTGACACCACGAAAGAGAGGATAAACAAACTTATGCCTGAGAAAATAAAGAAGAGAAGAAAACTTCAGGCTGAAGATGGGGTAAGAACATGGAGAAATCATGCAAGTAATTGCCTTGGATTTGTGGTGGCTTTTTGCTGGTGCCTTAGACACAGAGCAGATCCAGCTGGGATGGTTGCTGTAACTGTGCAGAAGCAAGAACAAAGTACTGGCTTAACCRGGTGCTGCTGAGCTCCTTGCTCTTCAGCATGTTGGGGTGGGAGATTGATGCCACACCAAGTGCTCAAGCTAGTTTTACTTTCAACTGCCCTGGCAGACATACCAGAACAGTTTCAGGTAGTTTTATACAGATAATATCTGCTTCTCAGTTTTCTTTAGGAAATTATAATCCACCAGGTCTCTTGCCTGTGCTCCTTACTCTTAGTGGAAGCAGTACTGTCTCAAACAGCTCCAGCTAGCCCTGCTCACTTGGTGGTGGTTTAACAAACACCGATTTTACTTTCATTTTACTGTTATGCTYGTTAAAAGTGCATTCTGAGAGCTAAGATTAAGATGCAGCCTAAATCTTTTTTTTTTTCCCCTAGTCTGATGCTGGCTGGGAGGAATACTATGATTACATTTTCCCCGAAGACACTGCCAACCAGCCCAATCTCAAACTCCTCGCTATGGCTAAACTGTGGAAGAAGCAGCAACAGGAGAGCGAAGCTGCRGAGACAGATCCCGACAAAGATATTGATGAAAGCCAGCCTTAAAACATTGACTTCTCCTCCTCCTTTTTTGGGGAGGGTATTGTACAGTATTTTCACGGAGGATGAATAAATGCAACTGAAGAGTTTTACTACTATTGATGTATTTTGGCTTGAAAAAGAAATAATTTTAAAGTGATTCCATTTAACATTGTGTTTTTTAAGCACAGCCAGGGCAAGGCARGTGCAGAAGTTTGCCACTGTTGTCAGTGTTCTGAGAACTGCAAGAAAAGCAGCAGTGCTTGCAGCTTTGTTTCCAAACACAGGTCTGTCTCTCCTAAGGCTCTCAAGAAAGTGTCACAGGAATGCTCGATTTAAGGATATTAACATGGCAGGACCCCAGATCTGCTTTTGTAATGAGAAAGATTACTTCAATCATTCCTGATACATTCTGTAGCACAGATTTTGATCACAAGGATGGTTTTGATTACAATAAAACCTACTGCCAACTGTAACCTCTTCAGTTTCCTACTAAAGTAAGTTTTCATCCCAGAAACTAGTTAGGAAGGACAACRTTAGAAATTAAATGCAACTGAAACTAGCCCCTGAAAGACACAGGCATAGAAATCAGTATCACACCGTCTGTCTGTATTGTACAAGGTTTATTTTTTTCTCAAAAAAAAGGTATTTCAAATTTTAACATTTCAAACAGGAGGTAGGAATAAGAATTACAAAGCTGTGACTCTCAGGCTTAATAATGAAAATTGATTCCTGTCTGCATTTTTTTTTTTTTTTTTATATTTACTGTAAACAATGCTGGTACCTTTCATTAAGMTGCTGGGACATAGAACTGGGCAGCAGTGTAAGCCAATGTCTCCATATTATTTTGAAGTTTTGGAGGGAAGAGGAGAAGCATTGAGCCTAAGACTCCACATCCATTTAAGCTCAAGGGCAAGGAGAGAAAAGAAACCTGAAACTCATATGGGCTGCCTGAGAATCACAGCTTACAGCTATTCAATATCTTCTGGTCTCACAGGATGTGGCAGAGGTATAATTGATTTCTTCTCTGAATCTCTGGAAAGAGCTTTTCTCATATCTGTTTCAAAAGAAGTCAGTGTTACTGTAACAAAATAGGCTTTATCAAAGCCATGGTAAGCAAATCTGCTCTGTCAGTAAAACAGGCATTACCCAAAGCAAATTTTGCACAGTAAGCAAATTTGCTATTGTGGTAAGATTATTTCTCCTCAAAAACAGTCCAGTAGCAATGTTATAAATTCAAACACTGCACAGAATTCAATAGACCTTAAAGGAAAGAGCAAGTTAAAAAGGGCTTTACAGCATCTGCCACAAAACCAGAAGTCCCTTGTAGCCCCTGTATTTCATAGGGCTCCTTCAAATCAAACAGAGGCTGCASGAATGGAGATGATGCGCAACAGGGCCACACAAGCCTGGCTGGAGGATGCTTAAAATTCAGGAATAACAGGAAGCCAGTATTTCATTTGTGTTAACAGAGAATTGGCTAAGTAGCTGCATTTATATTTTATTCCTCCTTACAGACTGGCACATCTTTGTAATTACTAGTTTATTTGTACTGGGTAGTTTTATTTTGTCAGCAATAGTATGGTGTATACTGCACAATCAAGGTTTCTAACTGACACACTGCAGTAGGGAAAATGTTCCTACACTCCCAAAATTCCACTCTCAACAGACTATCTGAACAGAGTTTCATTAAAAAAAAAGAGAACAAACACACCCAAAGATGCACAGCTTGTTCTGCTTCTGGCTGCACAGGAAGSTTCCCGGGTACTTACCATAAGCATCTTCATCGGGCTCTCCATTGCTGGCAGAGTAGTACTCCAACACAGTGCGGTACACGCTGTAGCCTAGTTGCTTATACATATTTACAGCAACTTGATTTGAGACTCTCACAAAGAGATCCACGAAAAATCCACCCTTTCTTTGTAAAAAATAAACAGAAGAAAGTAAGGAAGAGCTTCTGAGCCTATTCCCCAAAAATAACCCGTAGCCTGTAATCAGGCTGAACTGAAGTTAATTTTCTCAGGTATCAGTGTGACAGCCGAAGTGAGCCAAGATGCTGCCTCAAGCACTTAACTTCTCCAGGGCTGTGCCTGGTAGTGTCACACAAAGTCCATRACTGCTGTTCAGTGATTTTGTGGGCACTACAGGAAATAGTACTGACAATATGTGAAGCTTTTCCTACCAAGAAAAGCGGGCTACTCCCTACTTGTCCTGACAAGTTGYAGAAACCAAGGGATTTTAAACTGCCAAGCTGCAGTCATCATTCTTGTTCTCTGACCACAGGGGAATTGGGAGTGAATCACAACACTGTTTAGTGGAAAACTCTGTGTCTGTATCCACATAAATGACTAAACCATGAACAAAAATCTGCAGCAAGATTACTTGAATTAGATAGGAGAAAGATTACTTAAGTAAGATGTTAAACACAGATGCGCTACTCACTTCTCTGAGATTTCTTCCAGCAGTTCCATCAACTTGGCAGCCAAGCCGAGGCGGCGAAACTCAGGCGCGACGGAGAGGGCGGTAACGTGTCCGTGCCATTCCTCCCTGGCCACGGAGCCTTCTGCTTTACCCATTACTGTAACACACGGAGCACAGTGGGGCTGCTGGGATAAGGGGCCACGCACAGCTGAGCACCTTTACCCAGGACAGAACCAAAGCAACCAGAAACAACACGGTGACTGTGGTAAATGCTGAAAGAGCCTCGTCTGCCACTCAGCAAGGAGCTGGAAACCCAGCCTCCAAATCCTTCTCTGCCTGGGTGGGTCCTGATGGAACGGCCCTAACTCCTGAATTCCTCATCCTGCCAAGTGCATCTTGAAAGGTTAGCGTAACATCAAAATCAACTAACTGTAGATGGGGCAAACAGCTCGCACAAGGCTCCACTAAAAATGTCATCCTGCACAAGCTTTACACTATTTTTTTCCTCCCAGGCTCCTCCAAAAAGAAATACATTCCGCAAAATTAATGCCCAACATCCCAACATTCAAAAAAAAAAAAAAAAAAAACCCACCCACCCAACCAAACCAAGCAAACAACAACAACAACAAAAAAACGTTGACTCTTCCTAGTTTTTCACTGAACAGAATTCAGGATCTGATTGAAACAATGAAGGGAAGGAGGGCCAGACACCCCATACCTACCACTGCAGAACTACCAACCATGCCCATTAGTGGAGACTTCAGGTCACTAAGGCAGTAGAGCTTGGGAAACTTTGGCAACCTGGCAGTGCAAAGCTGTGGCCATGCGAAGATGATACAGTTAAGAAATAAAGGRGGCATCATTTAGCAGGGGGCGCTTCTTTGTAGTTCCTCCCCTTTCTCCATGGGGCCCTCTCTGGGCTGGGTCTCTGCTGGTCACTCTCTGCTCCATGCAGGGTTCCTAGCGCACAATCCCTGCTACTACTAGGGAAAGGAAAAAAGCCTCTCAACAGCAAATATTTTGAACTACAGGCTGGCAAATACTTTAATTTCCAGATCTCTGCAAAGACCTTTATGCCCATGAAACGTGAGAACAGACCAACCAACCTACCCTGTTTTACAGAAGAAATAAATGGCTCTCCCTAGAAGAAGTTCCGAGAAACATGAATATACCAAAGCAAACAAAGAAAACACAGTCCATGCCCAAATGCAGCGCTTCCTCTTACAGGATGAAGCAAAAGCCCAAAGCAAAACTTTTACTCAAATTTTAAAATAAATAAACTTAAATAAATAAATTTAATACAGTTAAATACTCATAGTTAAATAGTTAAATAAATTTTCATTATTAAATGAAAACAGTATCCCACTAGATCGCAGCTGAGGGCAAGGACTCAAATCCCTGCTCATAGGCACATATTCACAAGCGATAAATGAATTTCCTTCTCAGCACCATTCCCAAAAAAAAAAACCCACAAAAATAAAACCGCAAAGGGACGGGAACAGGTAGAAATAAGCAAAGAAGCAAATAATAAAGGCTTGGGGGTTCTGCGGGGTGCCTTCTCGCGGCGCACTCACTGTAACCCATGAGTTCTCCGCCCGGCGCCTCCGCCACGATGAAGTACTCGGGCCAGTGCGCCAGGTACTGCAGGTAAAAGGGGATCCCGTACTGGGGGCACCTGGTTAAGGAAGACAGCGGGGAGCGCCGCGGCCGCCCGCGCCCCGCGGCAGGAGGATACGGTCTCCGTGAGCGGGTCCAGGTTGCTGCGGGAGCAAGAACGGGGTGACATTTTAGCAGCAACGGCCGTGCGGGAGGCCGAGGGCCGCCCCCCAAGAGCGGGAAGGGGGAGGGMTGGAGCGCGAGCGCCCGGAGGGCACGGAGGGAGGCGCAGGGGGCGCGGAACGAGGCGAAGGGGCCGCCGCTCACATGTTGTTGAAACGGAAAAGGTCGTCGCAGGTGAACGCGCGGAGCGACGTCATGGCGCCGCCAACCGTCCCGCCGCCGCCGCCGCCGCCCCGCCGGAAACCAGGCCCGCCGCTTCCGCTCGCCAGGCGTTGCTAGGCGACAGCGAGGCGGGGCGGCGCCTCTTTGCGCTCCTGTTCTCCGCCCCCTTGAGGGGAGGAAGGGCGAAACGTCGCTCTTCAGTTCTGTGTTTATTTATGTTTGTTTATGTTTAGTGYGAGGGAAATCGGGTCTAGCTAGGAGCAGAGGAGGAATGCCGCTATTTATTTATTTAGTGAGAGAAATCAAGCTTAGGAACGGTAGAATGCTGCTAGTTATTTATGTTTATTGGGAGGAAAATCAAGACCTAGCTCTGCGCAGACTTTATTTTTTACCCACACTCTGACACTGTCAGTGCCCTCCGCTCCCGCTCCTTTGGTGTTTATTTTTCCCTATTATTTTTCCCRTTTGGTGTTTATTATTTTAAGGCATTATGGCGAGATTTGCACCTCAAGGCCCATGGCAGCCTTGGGAAGACGGCCCTGTTGGGGGACAGTGCCAACTTTCCTCATTAAGTCCACTTCATTAGTTAGATTTGGGAATAATTACCTCCAGCTTAATTTCCTTTAGCTTTTCTAGTAACTTCTTAATTTTAGAAAAGAGAATAAGAATTAAAAAAATCAGTTAAAAGCATTTTTCTATTTCATAACATCCAAGTCTTGTCATTGGAGCTTATTTTTGGAACCACAAAATCCCTTCCAGAGTTCTGGTATCATCTGTTTCCTGGCATTACGAGAAGTAAGCAGCGTTTTTTTATTTCATTTTTTTTTTCTCCCCACAGGGAAGCGAACAAAACAGATTCTCAAAAGGAACAAGTTGCACAAGAAGGGGCAGTGGAATCGCCTTGAGATGCTCGCGCACGTGCTCCCTCGGGCGCTTCCTGCTTTCCTCCATTTCATCCCCCAAGCTTCGAGTTTCCCAAATTAGCCCTTTCCGGCAAAATTATTTTGCCCCTTTGACCCAAAGTCAAAGGACTTAGAGCCATCAGCTTCTYGCAGCGCTGCTTCGCACAAGCTAATGCTCCCCTCTTGCATCCTTTCAAAGTGTTTAAATTGAGCCAAGCCACACAAAAAGCAGCACCAGGAGACTACTGCYGCACCAAACATACAAACGAAAACACACAAAAAAGGGTGCACACTGTTTCTAAGAAAAAGCACACAACATCCCACAGTGGTGAAGTTCATTATTACAATGTATTATGTGCAAACCCCTCCATTTATCATTTACAAAATGAAACACAGACCCGTGCCGGRGGTTTTGGGAACGCGGCAAACAGGGCACGTCCTGGTATGTACAATACACACGCCGCCCATGATGGGTTCTCGGCGTCACTGGCCCCGAGTGACGGTGCTCCACCTTAGACGAGCCACAGGAACACACGCATTTAACACCATTTTACCTTGTGTATTTAGGACTCTGGCTTTCATGCGTCACCTACGCAGTAACTTAAGAAATCACGAAATGCTACAACATGCTCTTCAGGCCAAAGCACCTCCTGAGGATGCTGCAGACTATGCAAGGCAGTTAGTGTTGCCATTCATTTGTTGATCTCTTAATCCTCTGCTAACACCAAGAGGATCTGGGATAGGTGCTGCCACATCCACCTACCTATCTACAATATTGTGCACATAGAAGTTTCCTACCAACCCCCTTTGCTCTCTTTCCGCAAGGAGCCTGAACCAGCAGACTAACACATCTCACTCCTAAATTAGGTTCTCTACAATCTTTCTCTACCCCTTCTCTACATCCTTTTCTTTCATCCTCCTTTTCCAAAGCCACATTTCTACCTAAAACAATGCATATAAACAATAATCCAGGTAACAGTACATCAAGTTCAGATAAAGGCACTGAAATCAGCAGTGCCAATGTTACAATCTTATTACAGGTAACAATTTTCATACAAAAACATCTTCCTTTAACATGAAAAAAGAGAAACCACAGAGACTTTTAATACAATACTCTAAAACCAGCAAGAGATTTATTCTTGTATATTAAATGTTAAAATCACATGCATAATTATAGAATACTTTATAGTTAAAAAAATATTTAAAAAACAACCCTGACAGTTTACCTGCAACTGCTATAAAATTTCTATGAAATATATATAAAAACATGGAGATTTTCTGTAATGAAAAAAAAATAGAAAAGGATGCAACCATCCAGGTAATTACGAGTTAACTGATGCCCTGCATCGGACAGTTTTGTCAAGCTCCTGCTGGTCAAAGTGAGTGTGTACCAGCCAGTTCACTGAAACATTTGTCTAGCATACACACACTTAAATCAAAGGGACATTTGGCTAAAGGGTGGGTGGAGGAAAGGAGATTTTGGCACGCTGCAGCAAGAGACCTGCAGAGGGCCACACAGCACGTTTGAATGTGTTTCCCGAGTCTGCGGTGCTGCAAATCCAGCTCTCYGGGCTGCTGACTCCAGCAGCTGGTTGAATATTCCATGTAAACTGGCCATACGTGCGGGGTCCGTGGAGCCTCCCCGAGCACCGTGTGAGCATCGGCACGCGTTTTACTAGGCATGTGTGGCTTAAGAGCTGCATACACTGTTTTAACCTCCCCAGGCAGGCAGCAAAGGTGATTTCAGCTAAGGAGCAACACGAATTCGACAACAAGCTGCTGGGTTTAAGAAACGGGGTCGTCGTTGTTTTGGAAAATGGCACCATAGGGATCGCTGTTGATGCGCTTGTAGACGAAGTGGAAGACCTGGGGCTGCGGGCGGCTGTGCAGCTCAGCCTTGATCTTCTGTGGGTAGGTGTCTTCTGTCAGTTGCTGCCAGGTGTCATCGACGAAGAGAAACAGGCTGTAATCTGCCGGATTGTCCACCCTGAACTTCTCAGCACAGAGCTGGCACACGTCTTCCGTGGTGATGTACGGTCTTACTAACAAGGTCTTTCCTGTACATCCACTGTTAACTTCCTGGAACGCAACTCGAAGGTARTTCTGTGGAACAAGAAAAGAGATGCAAGAAAATTAAGAAAAAAAAAATCAGCAACAAAAATAAAGATATCCACAATCTCATCCTCTGAAAGCTGGAGTCAGCAATCAGCAGCAAGCATCTTCCTGCTCTAATGGTGAAAGGCATTCCAGCAGTTCCTGTAAGTTATGACCAGCCCACTGGTGATAATGGTGGTGTGAAACTGTGACAGACGTGGTGGGCATGACCAACTCGGTGAGCCCTCATCCTCCTCACCTTCATTTACAGCCTAACCCTGCCCTTAAGAGCCAGCACATATAGCACCCAGAGGTTTTCATGGGACTTCATGCCTGCCTTAACACAGGAGAAGAATCTGGTTGAGAAGCACATCAACCTCTGAGGCAGCTGCCACTGCTGGGACAGCCTGAAATACAGAAGCTCTACACATTAACCAGAAGGAATAAAAAAATAAATAGAGAGGCTTCTGCCAATTTTAAAACAAGGGTATTGAGCCCAAAAGAAGTTACTATATGATAAATATATTTGCACTCTTATTCTGCAGCATGTACAAGGTAATCAAATTATTCAGTGACCTTTCTCTCTATGGAGAAAGCCCACAGCTCTGAGAACATRGATAAACATGACTCAATGTGGCCAAGTTGCACCATCCTGCCTTCCAAAAAAGCCTTTGGAACGCAAAGCAGAAGGCAAAGTCATGTTTTGGACACACGAACAGGACAGCCTGCTGTGGAAGGCTCCCTTAAGAGAAATTTATCTGGAATTAAAGCCTATGAGAAGGAGTAAAATTAAAGGAGGCGAGAAGTGCAAGAGGATGACAGTGTGACAGTATTTATTGAGTCTGCTGGTACCAATGACTGCATGTAGAATAAATTAAGCAGGTCAGGTCACTAGGGTAAAAACTTCATACAACTTATTAAAAGCTAAGACCAAAAGGAATGTTCATATGACTTATTATTAAGATCAAAAGAATGTTATTTATTTATTTAAAGAAACATGCCTGGATAGCTCTTGCAGACTGAAACATTGAAGCAACACTTAAATCACTGGGATTGACTGAATAGAACTAATCCATTTTTCTTATCCAGCCTAAGCATCTAATAAGGCAGCAGCCCTAAATAAGGCCAAAGGCCCCTCAGTTTTAACGTGTAGCTTGTGCGTAGTTAACACACAAAGGATGTTTGTTTTAGATGCGCATGCTTTTAAGTGGATGGGATTGCTTGAAGAAGAGACTGAAGTTACACAAATGCCCATAACTCATAATAAATGTCCAATTCGTTTATGCGGTATCAAAAAGTTCTATTTAATAATCATTGACATGTGGGATTTTTGATTTTCCATGCTCTTGAGGCAGGCAGAGGGAAGTAGGCAGAAGGCCTTGGAGGATCCAGAAGCAGGAGGCTCTATCGGGACTGCTCCACAGAGATACAGTGACCGCAGCCTGGTCCTAAGCAGGAAGAATTAGTTTTCTGAAGTTGTGGTGTTACTTACGTGTCCAAAGGGCACCTTTTTTTTTCACAACTGTGGAGAAATTAGACTGAAAACTGGTGTTCTGAGCAGGCAGCCAGGTGCATGAATCTGTGCCAAGTGTTACTGGGCAGGGTCTGATCTTAGTGATTCAAGGCTCTGTTTTGAAATAGGCACCAGAATGAGCAGCCCTGAGCACAGCCCTTCTCCCAGTGCCCACAGCATCCTCATTCGGCCGTGCACCAGGCTTGGCTCAAGTATTTATGCTGAGCAAGAGAAAGTAGGGCAGAATTTGAGATTTTGCCCCCCAAAATCCCCTGAGATTGAGTCATTCAGAGGAGATGCAATAATATGAAGCTTCGTACAAATGGTGCAATTTTTTTTTCTGAAAGGAATGTCAGATTCAAAGAGCTTGAGACTTCCCCTAACTGAAGAAAAGCTGAATATAAAATGGATGTCAGCAAGACAGAGCAGCTTGATGCCAGCCCCATCGCCCAGCATCTCTGCTCGTCAGGGCAGATCTCTTCCTAAGGAGAAACACATCACATGAGACAGACTGCTGCTTCTCCCAGCTCCTCCTTGCTCAGTGTTGCTCTGTAGTCTTCTGCACAGAGGCTGATGAAGCTCAAGGAGCCTCAACTGAGAAGTTTCACYGTCTTCTGATGACCCTCCGCTTTCATTTCTCAAGATCTTAACCAGAAACTAACTGATTGATGGTTCTTATTAGCCAGGCCAGAAACTTTGGGCTATGATATCAACAGGAAACAGCTAAACTCAGAGAAATAAATCCTTGTTTCTCATTTCAAACACCTTCCTCGCTTCAGTCGAGGAACTGATCCATCTGAAAARCCAGTCAACAGCATACTATGATTTTACGTAAAAGACCCACGGATCTGATTTTAGAAGATGAAACAATCCACTTCTTTCGAAGTTATCGACCCCCTCTGGAAAAGTAGTAAGAATGGARGGAAAATAAAAAATGAAGACTTTCATAGTGCAGAATCAAGGCAGCTTTCTCCCCTGCTGCCTGCTGTGCAAGATCCACAGGGCAGTTGTGCTGATCCACAGTTCTGGAAGTCTACACTYGTGTTTCTGAACAGCCAGGCATACAAAGCAACCAAATCTACGACAGGATTCGCTTTGCCCATGGAAAAGGGGGGACGGAAGGGGGAGATGAATTATTTAGTGTTTTTGTCTAGGCAACACAACAGAACTGTTAAAAAGTGCAAAGAGTTAAAGTAAAACGGGGAGCACTCATAACCCTTATCTCAACACCACTTCACCTCACTTCCTTCATGTCCCCAAGGGAATCGTAAAGAATCACACCTCTCAAATAGAGATTTCCAAGAAAAGAACCACTCCTTCTGCCCCCCTTTTATTCTCTCTCTCTCTCTCTCTCTCTCTCTCTCAGCCCTTTACCTGAAAATCATCAACTGAAGGTATTGTTCTGTTAGTTGTCCTCCTCTTGTGCCACTGCCGGAGGGTATCTCTGGCTTCCGAGCTCAGCAGCCGGGCGGCCTGTTCTTCCTGGAAGTTCTTGATCAAGGACAGGGCTCCGTAGGCGCTCGTCAAGTAGTAGCCCCCTGCGAGGACAGCGGGAGAGGGACRGCTCAGAACGGTCACAAAGAGCACCCTAGGGCTTGGGGCTGACCATGCACATCTGCCCTATCTACTTACCTGTGTGTGCCCGTGTAATTAAAGTGCTTGCACTTTGCTGTCAAAATATCTATATGCAAAGAAAGATCCAGCAGGCAGCTTGTTTCCCCTAAACTGCAGCATTCTGCACCGAGTAATGAGGTGATGCTACTACTAATGGCACTTGTAGAAACACCACAGATTAACAGACCATAATCAGCTGTACTATATGGCCACGTAATTTAAAGCAGTAGATTTGGTGACATTAGAATTGCTCTTTACTACATTTACTTTTGTCTTTACTGCCCACTCGATGGCTCCGTTCTTCGGACTGCAGCTCCCTCTGGTGACACCCTGCCCAGAAGTCACCACTATCCACATGCTGCTCTCCTCCTTCCAAAGGTGACAGATACTGGGCAATCTGTCTGCAATCCTGCCTGCTTCTCACCTGCCTTCCACGAAGGCAGAATGAAATAAACAAAGCCAAGGCAACTGCTGATTATACAAAGAGATGCTGCAGATCACAAAGGAAAAGAAATCTCTGCAGGAGCTAAAGCCCTCAGCGACCTGGGGAAAAGACACCCTTTGCCAACCCATAGACAGACCCCTTTTGCTGAATTAAAAATAACATGACTTCACAGGTCAGTAGGTGTTTCTGTTTTTCAAGCACGTTAATGATGTCCAGCCCCACATCTCAAGTATGGTGCCTGGTGCATCTTGCACACATTCCAGCTTGCAAAAGGATTCGGCAATGCCAAGTCTAAACATAGCAGGGACAGGAAATATATATACACATATATATTTAAATTCGCAGCTGAGCTTGGTCACAGAGCCTTGTGACCTTCTCAGAAACTGCTGGTTTCTGGGGCCTTGAAGAATATCTCTGGGCTAAAAACACSAGCAGGAAGACCGAGAAACAGATCTCCCTGCCTCTAGTCGGCTCCAGCTGTCAGTCATGCTTGCCCTACGAAATTAATTCCTGGGGCTCATAAAAATATTTTGCAAGAAACAAATATTTGAAAGAAGCAAAGAGCAACTGCGCTAGTAGATTCCCAGAGGGCTCAAGTCTGCGCTCTGCACATCCCAGCAGGAAGGAAGGTCCCACCAGGGCTTTCCATACTCAAGGGCAGAAATAATTAGGAGAGTCTCTTGTTATGCTAATAACATCGCTGACTTTAATACTCTTCCTTGAAGAGATTACCAGGTAAACAAYGTCATGGCAACTGTATTATCAAGGAAAATCTCCATTCCCTATTCCTTTATTTTAATTAAAAAATAAGGGGAAAAAAGTTACCTTCTCCATGTAGTAAGGWGGGATCCAGCAGCTCCATCATGTATTCAATTTCAGTATCCAGCTCCAGCATGTCACACTGGGCTAATACGTATGTCAGCACAGGCAAGAAGTCGTCAGCTCCATACAGCCTCCCTGGGGTCGAGAGGACACAGAGAATGACAGATAAACCCCAGCTTTATGCCAGGCCCAGCATTTCGAAGCATTATTTTTGCTGCCTTTACCAGCCAGGAGGACTGGGCTGCTCTACAGCCTCACTGGCCTCCACCAGCTTGGGCTCGTGCTCCCAACGGGCACCACCGGGTGCTGATAACCCTAGAGCTTTGCAAGGGAAGTGAAAGGCTGGGCCCGCACGGGCATCAGTGGCTACTGGCCTACACGTACTGCAGCGCAGGAGTCAGCACTGCTCTGTTCCAAAGATGCTATGTCGAACAAGAGCATTCAGAGGAAGCCACAAGTACCGGATCAGAGGCTGTTTTTCTCCACCCAGTTACACACAGTCCTCGTGGCGGGGCAATGACGCACACGCTATTCAATTACCACAGCAAATTATAGGGTGTATTTGGCCCCCTCTGCTACAACTTCCACAATAATGCTTATTTCAGCTCAGTGTCAAAGGCRGACTCGCGGAACAGGCTTCTGGCAGCCAGCTTCAAAAGCCAAAGCTAAGGCAAGCTGCCGCCTTGGAAGTGAAGCTGCTTCACAAATCTGCTTAACCCTCACAAGTTGCAAACGTGCCGCCAGGAGCAGGGATGCCAGGAAAGAGGTGGAGAGGCAGAAGCCCTCTCAGAAGGGCTAAGAGACCCTGCGAGAGCTCAGGGAGAAAGAGGCAGCTGCCTCTGCAGAATCCAGGGATCTGCACCAAAAGACAACCCCAGGTTTAAAATATCAGCAGGCTTTTTTTTTTCCTCACAGGAAGCATCATACCTGAGTTATTCTCCATAACAGTGTAAATCAGTTTGCAAACTCTCAGCAGCAGCATGACCTTCTTCTCAGGTGAGTACATCTTCTGCATGGTCATGAACTTGACTTTGATCTTCTCAACGTCCACAAAGTCCGGCGTGGGAACAAACACCCCCAGCTCCTGGGGATTCCTCTGCCTCACCAGCTGCAGGTTTTCCTTGAGCTGCTTCCAGGATCCGTCTGCAGTGTGAAACTCTTTCAGCATCACTTCAATGTGGCCCTTCAGCGGCTTCAGGATGCACTTGTGCATGGCCTTCTCCAGCACCACATCTGCAAGGGCAAACACAGCTCCAGCTGAATCCTCCTCTAGAGCAGAGCCAGGATTAATATTACCCGCTCCCAGGGGATGCTGCAGAGCACAAACTACTCGCTGCAGCCTATGTATTGCACAAGCTCAGCTTCCAGATGCTTGCTAACGAGAAAACAAAAAGGCAGAGCAGAATCTGTGTTCCATCCGAACTGAGGGCAATCTGGTCAGCGCAAGAAAACAAAACAAGATGAAACAGTTTCCCCCCCGCCACACATACACAAAACAAAAAACCACAAACAAAAAAAAAACCACAAAAGAGACAGACAGACTACAGACTGTAAAAGAAAGTTGTGGCTCCAGTTAACATTTGGGTTTTTTTTTTTTTTTTGGCCAGAGGCCTCACTGCTTTGTTTTTGCTTTGAGCTTTAGACTTCGACTCCCAAACCTGGAGCAGGACAGTCAAAACCGTAACTTTTGTCTCTTTTGGCATGGAAACCAGCCCTTTTCACATAGTTTCCATCAGAAAGTGTAGCTCGACCAAGGCCGCCTAAAGAGAGACTCAACTCTGCTGAATTCTTTTCTAAGGCTTTAAGCTATAAATGAAAACCAAGCTATGTTTGTCCAGCTTCAGATTTCAGCATGCAAGCTCATATACAGCTTTGTCATCAAGTCTGAGGTTCTYTGGCAACTGTGTGCACATGGCACAGTAACCACTCAGGTTGTTTATTTTGTTTCTACTCAAGCGAAAGTCTTTCTTARAACAAACATTCTTCATTCTCCATGCCTGGACCACATCAGCAGTGAAGGCTCTTTTTGCTTTCACGTGCCATGGAGGTGCCAAAGGAGGGGATGTTCTTGTGTTCCCCAAAGCCACCRTTGCTCTGGCTCTCACCTCCTGCCCCCTTCTCCCACACCTTTGCGCGCTGCTCCGAGGAGCTTTTCCTACAAAGCATCCCTGCAACTCTCTGCCATGAGATTCCTACACGGTCGGCTCCGCTGGGCACTCCCACCTCCCCTTCTCCCTGTTCCTGGGGCCTCTGCAGCTTCTACTGCTGCTTTTCTGTGCTGAGACACTCAGGGAGTCACCCAGGGCGGCCTTGTTCCAGGCTCTGCCCCATGGCAGGCACCGCTGCCAGGACAGGCCTCTGTGCTGCCATTTTCCCCATTTCCCCAAGGCTYCAGCAAAGGCCCAGTCTGTCCCACAAATGCTCCCCGTGACCTACGTAGACAAACACAGCAGGAAAGGCACAAAACTTCCGACATGCGGGCGCATTAGCCAGCTCATTTCCACATGGGAAGCACCCTTCCCTGCTAGCTTCACCAGTGCCATATTTTTATTGGCAATTTAACTTCTTTTATTTTTTATTGTATTTTTTTTTTCCAACAGCAACCCCCTATTACGGCTTTGCTTGTAGAGCACCTCTGCTGTTTGCATTCCAGCTGCCTGCTCTTGTTTAAATTGGAATCAAAACAGTTCAGGCTGCCAAAYAGCACAGAGAGAGAACTCCGCATCCCTAGGGAATGGCTGTGCCTGGAGCACCGGATTTCAGCCTCCCTCCATCCAAGTAACTCAGGTCCTCATCCAAGTAGCGGGAGGATCAATAACTYCAGGAAAGAATTCCTCTAATTCCTTTGGCTAGATAAGAAGGGAGCCGCTGGGCCCATCTCCTGGGTGGGATTTGAGGGAAGTCAGTTGCTCCCGACCCCATCCCAGCACTCCTTCTGTGGAGCGGAGCTGCYGGAAGCCTCCTGGGGGGCTCCCCCATGGAGCCCGAGCTTCTGGGTGCTGGCCCGGATGTCTACAGGTGGGAAGCRGAGGCGTTAAGTGTTGGCCTTGGGAAGCGCCACTCCCACAGAGCGGATGAATCACAGGGATTTTATGGCTCTGTGGGCTGGGCAGGGAGTTGCATCAAGTTTGCAGCTCATGCTGGGGCCCTACAGCAGGACCTGGAAATCACCTKCCAGTTCACCCCATCCCAGTGCCCAGCACATCAGGAACCCTGCAGGGACTTGGGGCTGTGCGGAGCAGCGGGGCGGGTGGCTCTGCCCCGCTCCCTGCCTCTGGTCAGCTCGAGGCGAGATGCAAAAGCAGTTGAGTCCTTCCTTTGGGAATCCTTCCCTCAGCTTCATTGCTCACGGCTGTTCCTCAGARTTTCCGCTTTGTCACCCTGGCTGGGTAAATACAAACCAGACAGATGGCTTGGTAGAGTCTCCTTCAGGGACCACATTACCCCAATGGGATATAAATTAAAGATTCAGGACTCCAAAGAGACTCAACTCAGCTGGGCTGGGAGACACTTGCATTTTCCTGCAGTTCTGCACAGCACTAACGAGCAAAGTCAACAGTAGCAGCTTGCAGSAAGGCACCCACAAGTGGGTTTTTTTCCCCTTTATCTTTTATTCTTCCTTCTTAATTTTCAGGACAGACCTAAGAATGAGGGAGCTCTGAGTTAAGAGGTAGCAAATCCAAGCAAGATGGCGAGGCCAAGAACTTGGCAAGGTCAGAAGCATTGGGCATTCGTATGGTAAATGACAATACCTACATTTAACCTAGTTAGCCCCAAAATGCAGAGGCTTTAGCAGCATTTAACAGCTGCACTGTTATTGAAGCCTGGAAGGACAGCTTTGCTTGTGATCTGGGTCTCAACTATCACTCAGGGTTACAAGCCAGGACCACCATTCTCGGGATCAGAGCATCCAWGCAGGTCCCCTTTTGTCCAGGGCTGCTGCTAATGCCCCCCATTCACAGAGGGCAATTCTGGGTACAACCCCACAGGTGACTCCTGCCCAGCAGAACCTTAGTTTCTCATGGCCACAGGCAGCACAGGAGGGTTTCCCAGGCAAACTAGTGCCTGCAAGGGCTGAACTGTGGACCCATCCATCGAGTTAACATGTTCATGAATTCCTCAACTCAAATCAAAGCCAGCAACAAAGACGCCTGTTAACTTCTGCAAAAGCAAAGTGCTTACAAATGCCCCCTCCAGATGCTACTATTTCAACAACCCCCACATAGGCTGCAGAGGGCTTTTGTTTCAGCTGATGATGGTACTTTTAATTTAAGACCCAGCTCGCTTTCCTGCCACGATGCTTAAAATTAGTCTCCAGCCTCAAAAYGGGAACTGGAAGTGCCTGGACAAGCGGAGCGCCGAGGCGAGCAAGCGAGCCTGGCGTCGGCCGGTGGAAATGCACGTGCGCCCCGCGCTGACCCGCTGCACGAGCCATGGCCACTGTCCTCAAACCACCCGCTCACTCCTTTGGCCGTGGGCCGAGACCTGGGGGCCCAGGGCAGCTCCGAGAGGCGTTGGGAAGACGCTGCCCTCGCCTTGGCCGCGCGGTGGGGAATGGTGCCTCTCCGCACTCAGTTCGTTTTAATGAGGGTTGATTAAAGCTCACGGGAGGGAAGCACCTGCCTTCTCTTGGAAGAGCAGCCCTGATGGAGCCCCAAACAAGTCACCAAGCAAGTGGACAGAGGGAAAGGGGATGCTGGCCTCTGCTCTGGGCCTTCACTGCTTGCTCTTTTCTTCCCTGCTCCCCTTCGGCGAAAGGGAGGCCACAGGGAGACCAGGTCCCTTGAYGTTAAGCGGACATGAACAGCAGGGACCCAAAGCACATGGAAGGCCCTTGAAAAAAAAATCACATTGCTAAAAGAAAAAAAAAAACAAAAAAAAACCCCACCCATATGAATTTTTCAAGAGCAAATAGCAACATATCATTCCCATTCCTTTCACAGGACAAGTGGCTTAGGAAGGATACACAGAGCAGGAGCTGGGCTACATCCTGACTTTTTTAAAGGCCTTTAACCCTTCTCCACACAGCTTCTCTACAGGCAAAAAAGGGGAATAGCGTCCAGCTGTAGTTACCATAATGTGGGTGCATGGCTGGTTGAGCGCCCAACTCCCAACAGGTCCCTGTCGAACACGCGGGTGTTTCCAAACAGGCCCCGTGGGCCCATGGCCAGCCCTGGGCCGTTGAATAGTTTCATTAAGAATCTGAATGATGAAATAAAGCATTTCATATGTAAATTCTGCATGTGAATACATGGTAGGGGTGGAAGGAGGACATCACCAGCTCCCAGGATCACGTCTAAAGGTCTGAAGTTTTCTTCCACATTGGAAAGACAGTTAGTTGCTGTAGGGCAATCCTGGGATGTCAAAAACTGCTCCCAGGAGGATTGCTGATTTTTATTTCATGCTGACCTGCAGGGGAGTAAAAATGGAGAGCAGCCGGACAAGTAACTGACTTAATTTTCACCAAAGAAAGAAAACCCTTCTCTATTGGGGGGTAATTAACAGGCTCCYTGACATGCCTTCCAACTCTTCCCATCTTCCTTGGTGTAAATCCACATGCTCGGGGGCCAAGTGGRTCAGTGCTGAGGGACCAACTGCATTCTCAGATTCACCATTTCAAACTCCACATGCACCAGAAACACCAAAGTAACGCAGGGGACGTCCCAGCACCGGCCGTGCCATTTGTCAGTGCCTCCTCACCAAGTTAAGTCGGTCAGTTCTGGTGTTAGGCCAGGGTTTGGCACGGCCACATGGCCACGGAGCTGGTCAGATGCTAGCCCCTGTCTGCTGATCCCCTGGCCAAAGGATGACCCTCCGCTTGCCTCCTTTCTTTTCCCAGCCAGGAAAAGGTGAAATATAAACAAAACTCCCAAACACTTGCAGCCCTGTTCTCCAGGGGGTTGCCATAGATGCAGGCTCTAGCATAAACTCAGGAGACAAAGAGACAACTTGGCGGCACCTGACCAGGGAATAGTCCTGCTGGGAAAGGACACAGTGTTGGCTCAAGCTCCTCAGGAAGCATGAGGAAGGGCCTGGGGAGCTGAGATGCCCGATGATTTAGAGTCACAGGCTCCTACCASCTCATGCCACCTGCACCAGCAGTGGGGCCAGCCACAAGAGGCAGCTGCTACGTGCAGAAGAACCTGCACAGTRACTACCTAAACCAAACAGAGAGAATAAATGACCTTTTACAAAGCCTGGGCTGCAGAGCTGCATTGAGGCAGCCGAGCAAAGCCCCAAGGTGATAGGCAGGGCTGACTTTTTGTTCTAGCCTAAGAAATACTTCTCTATAGGGATGATTAAATCGTGCTGTCACATAGCTATCTGCCTAGGTCAGCACCATCTCAGGCTCCTGATCCTCTGTGGCTTTTTTCAGGCTCCAGCAACAGGAAAGCAGATGACTCAAAAGCAAGTGCTGCATTTGCTTAAACCTACCCTGCTTTAATGAATCAGATTTAATTGCAGGAGCAAAGTTAGACTTTCTGTTGATGAAGAAAACCAGCTCAGTCTCTTYGCTTTGCTGTAGAACTTCAACTACTCCGAATCAGTGAGACCTCTACAAGGAGACATCGCTGTGCCAGTCTCTGGAGACCCCCCAGCCTCAGACTCACCCTCTCAAGGACAAGGCCAACTCAAACCCGCCTACGAGCACAGAAGTTGGGTCTCTCCTCGTCCAACGGCCTCCGAAAGCCCCCGGGGGGAGCCACAGCACGGCTGCGTTTGCTTTCCTTCCACACAACACCCCCGCAGCATTCCTGGGCACTCTGGAGAGAGCTCTCCTCGCCTTTCAGACAGTCTCGGCTTTGAGGAAACTCTTCATCGTGGAGGACTCRCTTTGGTGACGCTTGCTACTTTGGCTCAACTCGGTGCAAACGAGGCCGAAATTACAAGCAAATCCTTCCCTGCAGTCAAGGGCAGACCAAAATGTCAACATAAAAAGCACCAGCTACTCCCAGGGAAAGAGCTATCTGCCAATTTTGTCCTTGGCCAACTGTTAGGACACTGGGGTATAGGAGAAAAACAAGCAAGTTCAGACTGAAGTGAGCTCACAAGGAAAGTATTTTGCCCTCAGGGATGTTTACCTCCTAAACGTGGCTTATAAGCTCTTTCACAAATACTGCTCAGGCGCAGCAAGTCGGAGGGACAGAGAGGTTTTATACAGCAACAACGATTGCACTTTTGTGGATACACAAGTCTTTCTCTGTTGGCAAAACATGCATTCAAATATATAGTTCATTAGTGACCATTTATAAACAAGAGACATGTAACAGAGAGGTACAGAAACCCAGAAATTGGCATCCTCTGTTCTTCTTCTTCTTTTTNAAAAAAAAAAAAAAGGTCTGACAGGATGAGCCGGCATCCACCCGAAGGTGCTTTGCTGCCTGCCTGGCTTCACAGGGCCCCTTTGGAAGGCCTGCCTAAGGAAGAGATGCACTGGGAAGTCAGTTTGCAATTAGCAGCACTTCTGTTCTCCGGTTCTTGCCAGGATTGAGTTGACCCCGGAGTCAAATGCTGGGATGACTTTTTTTTTTTTTTTTTTTTCTTAAGCTTACATACCCCTTTATTTAGCTTTAATGCAGGGACACTGCAGCTTTGCTAGGCGCAAGGGAGAATTTCTTTGCAAGAACAAGATTTGTTTCAAGAGGAAACTCCTAAGAAATGTTTCTCTACTCTTAACTGTTGCTGGTTCCTAGTAAATCCTGGCTTTATGGCTCCAACACGTACGCAGCATATGATTAAAACTGGTGCATTCCAACAAAATACAGGGAAGTATATGAGTGCCAGCAAATACGGGATTAATAGTGGAGCAGTTTAATTTAAAAAGTCACAGTTAAATCAAATGCAATGCTCACCACTGTTAATTATAAGGAAAACTTTTTATAAACAACACTTTGCAGCCTAGTTCTTCTGAGCTTTTGCATTTTAAAAATTAAATAAACCAAGCCTTACACTCTGCTAGCAAACTCAACTCCCTCCCGTCCAACTTGGCACTAAGACTAGCACTGTGGACCCGGATCACGCGTTTTCAGCTTCCCCTGGACTACAGGGCAGCATCTCTTACCTATTTGGTCCTCCGGGATGAGGGATTCGATGGGGGGGTCAAGCTCGGAGCTTTGGGCCAGGTAGTTCTTGACTTGGGTCATGAACTGCCGGATGGTTTGCAGCATGTCGGTGCTGGAGACGTGGCACTCCTTGTTCTCCTGGAGAAAGCTCACGTAGTCCTGTACCAGGCACCCAAAGTAGGTGCGCTTGTCCCGGGACATCTCCGCGATTTTCTTGATCATCCTCTTCTCAGGGGTCATGAAGGAGCTGAAAACACCGCTAACCTTCCGCAGCTGGGACTTCACAATCTTGGGCAGCACGAACGAGCTGTTCCTTTTCTTCTTGGGCTTCAGAGGGGGGGCCATGCTCTCCTGGTCGCTCTCGCCCTCAAAATCCTCCAGGCTGCTGGCGGTGTCACCCTCGTAGCCGAACAAGGGCATGCTGCGGTCGAAGTCCAGCGAGTCGGAGGAGGAGGTGGAAATGCTCATGTCGCTCAGCCGCTGCCGCCCTCCATCCCAGGGCGTTGGTGACTCACTGTTCGCTGCCGCAGGGCTCTTGGCGGAGGCAGCCGGATCCCGCGCGGCAGTGGTGGGGGCGGCACCCGGCGCGGAGGGGCCGCCGGGCCGYGGTGTCGCCGTCGCCTCAGCGCAGCCCGCTTGCTTCTTCAGCCGGGGTGGCGGCACTGGCGCCGGCCTGCTCGGCGGCGAGCCCGCGGCCCACGGCTGCTTGGGGCCGCCCGTGGCAGGCATGCCGGCCGGCTTTATAGCCCGCGGGGGCCCTGGGCTCCTCGGGCCACTATTAATAGCGGGAGGCGGCGGACGGGGCGGGGGCGAGCGGGTCCGCTCGGTGCCATTGGCGTCCGGGCCGCGCAGGCTCTGCCTTTTCAGGCTGCCGCTCGCGTCCTGGCTATGCACTTTTAGGAAGAGGGGGTTGATGAAGCAGAGTGCGCCGTTGCTCTGGCTGCACTCCAGCTCCGAGGGCGTGCGGGTCCGCAGCGCGTGCACACCATTTATGAGGCAGAGCTGGCGTCCGTCTTTCTGAGCGGCGTCCGCGGGAGCGGGCCGGGCCGGCGGTGAGGGATCCGGGGGGTYGCTGTGAGCCGGCGAGCTCCAGAAATCTGAAAGTCATCAGCACATTAACATGAGAAGGCAAATGGCATACGCAGATGGCGTGCGGCTCAGCGTAACCCCTTCGGGGCACGGAGAAATGCAGGCAGGCTTTTATAATCCAAGCAGGGAAAAGAAAAAAATAAAAATAAATAAAAATAAATAAAGGATGAATAGCATTCCTGGTGAACTGGTCCTTAAAGTGCCTTAAAGCTCTTGGGGCTGCTCCTGTCCATTTTTTAATATCGCAGCCAGCACACAACTCCAAACTGGCCAGCAGAACAACACTCAAAATAAGCTGAGAGTCAAAGGAAGGAATGGAGATGGCAACGTAGCAACTCTTACCGATGCAAGTCTAAGAGGGACGTGAAGCGCACCCCAGCGTATCTGGCAGGAGAAACAGCACACGGGTTCTCAGCTGGTGTTAATAAACTCACTCCACTAAAGCAAACAGATTTCRGCTGATTTGCACCAGCTGACAGCCACATATGGCAGCTCTTCAGAAGCAAAAGTTTTAGGGGCTTGGTTCACAGGGAACAAATAAAACTAGGCAGGAAAACTCAGTGCCGCGCTGCTACGTTCATGCCTCTTTAAGAGCCCTGGCCTGCAGCCCTGTGCCGCATGGGCGGCCGACAGGGGCTTTTAGACACTCAGCAGCACAGAAATGGGCTGAATGTGCAGCCCCAGCAGCAAGGCACAACAAACCAGGGCTAAACCAGGAAGTTTCTCCCACAGCCTCCTCGCTTGTGCGAGCAGAGCGTCGCTGTGAGCGCACGAAGCATGGGTGAGTGTGAAAGCCCTGCAGCTCCCGCGACCCCCAAGGCTGAAAGCAGATGGGCCTGTGGGACAGCGACRGGAGCGGTGCCAGGGAGGAATTTCAGAGCGTGACAGGGGCTACGTGCAGGGAAAGGCACCTTGCGTGGCCCTGCTGCGGCTCCACGAGCGCAGGCCCAGCTCGCAGATCCCTCTGCAGAGCGCTCAGCGTGTGGGCTGCTGCAAACACGCACGAGAGGAGCAGCCCAGCAGGTGAAAGCGGAGAAAAGAGGCCAGAAAAAGGCTGCCAAAAGCCCTGCAACCTTTAGTATCAGGCCTCCCAGATACGTTTTGCTGGGCTATCTGCTGCTGACCTGAGCCTGCAGCATTAACAGAGCTCTGGCAGCAGCTATGGTCCTTAGCATTCACATTAGGCTGTTTTGTGCCTGTCTGCTACTTAAGGAAAGCTGACAATCAGAAGGCCCCTTTGAGAGCCTGAGGCATCTCTTGGGTGGAGGTGTTGCAGGTCTGGCTTGTGGGTGTGCTCTTTTGGAGGYGTTCACCTGTAAGTCCATCAAAACCCCAGCTCAGCTGCCTGTTCTGCAAGCACAGAGATGGTCCATCTACAGCATATGCTCTCGGGCACAGAAGACAGGAGACAGCATTAAGGCTCTGGAGAGCTTGCTCAACACCACCATTATTAGCTTCTATGGAGACACTTGTCTAAATGCTTCCTCAGAGCCTCTAGCTTTCTAGGGGAGACCATCTTCATTATTCTGCTTCCCAATTTGCCTACACCTCAATGAAAATCCATCTTTCATTCAATTACCTAACTTTGCAGATTAACAGCACAGGAGACATCTGTCTCCTCTTTCAAAGTGAATTCCTGTTAGTCAGAGCAAGTGTAGCAAAACAAAATATGAAGCAATGCAGAACTTCGTTCTGTAGGACTTCACTGCAGAATCCCACCCAACGTTTCCGGAGAGCCTTGTGCTACAACCCTGATTTGCTGAAAATTCGTTTCTAAATTGAAGATGATTCAAAAATCTAGAGGGACAAAGACTGTCTTCAGCCACCTCTCTCTTCCTCCAAAAGGAAATAAGRCCATTCAGCACTTTGCAAGAGTTGCTCAATGATTCATCTGGATCAAGCCCACGTTTCAAACCCTGCCAAGGCTTCGCATCTGCTGCAAACTCAAAGCATGTTGCAATGAGGCTGTAGCTGGTTGTAGCAGTCAAGCTGTKCATCTTACAAAGACAAGCCTTAGCATTTTGCTTTCTTCCCCCTAAATTTTAAACTCCCTGACCATGCCATGTGCATGGACACATTCTGCAGATGCCACAGACCCAGCCCTCCTTGTACCAACATGCCACCGCATCAAGCCACTGATGTCAAAATTGCCTTTCCAGGGCCACACGTCCTTCTGAACAGACAGTTTTGATATCACTGAACTGCCGATCCTGCACCACCTTGGCTACAGCAGCAAATCATGAAGCTAAAGGCTGCAGTGTGAGACCACAGCCAAAATTCCATCATGGAGGACAAGCTACCTCAGATGTCTGCCTGGTGACTGCAAGACTTGCTTTGTGTCAGGCCAGGGCTGCAAAGAGAGGAAAGAGAAAGAAGGAAAGAAGGAAAGAATCAACACTGAGAGTCAAAAATATCACTCAAGGCACATAAGGATGGAAGGCAACCAAGGTCACCATTTGTCCCTTGGTAAAGGGCTTTGGCCTTCGCATAGGAGCAGCTGCTTTTCCAAAGGCTGAGTTGTTACTGACCAAAAAGAACTATTTGTAATACAGACTATTTCCTCAAGCTTATAGCATTATTATAGAGAACGAGAGCTAGGCAGATAGCTACTTACTCAGTCCGAGCTGAGCAAGGTCTTCAAGTTCAGCTTCTGTCTTTGCTGCTGCAATAGCATGAGGCAACTTCAGAGTGAACGGCAGGACATCCCTGTTTAGAGAACGGAACAGCAATAATGATTTCCACAGCAAAATCCATAGTTTTAGAAGTCTTTGTTTCCAACACAGGCAATAGTTTTGCTCAGATTCTTACTCTCACTTTGAGCTATGGCAGCTAGCAAGAAGTTAAAAACATGCAGTGCAGAAAAGGACCAACCCAAATGCTGCTTTACAGCGAGACRTGGTGTGAAGTGCAAAAGAGTCAAGTCCCTAGGACTCTCTTTGGGCTCATTTCTATGGCCTCACCTTATTTTCCTCCCATTATAGCAAAATCTTTAACACTTGGCTTTAGAAGCAAGCCAGTACGATGCAAAAGCTTTATCTGCCCTTAGCCCTCTCACCAGGCTTTGTGTTTTCCAAATACACCGAGTGCTCTCAAAATCAAACACCTAGTTCTCAGAATAAAAGGCCAAATAAGTATTTGGGTGGCTAGTTTATTAAAAAAGAAAAAAATCTAAGCTGAGATTAGTACTAAGTACTAGTGCACTGGAAGAGGCTTCCCAGAGAGCTTGCAGASTCTCCACTCTTGGAGAAACTCCAAAGCCACCAGGACAGGTCCTGGGCAGCCAGCTCTAGGTGGCCCTGCCTGAGCAGGTGATGGGACTAGAGGATCTTCAGAAGACCCTTCCAACTGAATCGTCCTGTGATACTCTGTCCTGAACTGAAAACATATTTCATTTAAGGAAGTCTTCCTAMCTTATCTCCGTATCTGATGTCTATACCAAAAATAGATGAATACTAAAAAGTCAATGGATGTTTACAAAAGCAGATGTGTGAATAATATGTGCACAATACAAGGAAAAGCTAGGTTTTTTTTTTTTTTTTGCATTTGCTGCAAACTCCCTGTATGCACCGACAGGGAGCTACCAGAGCTTGGTCAGGAGCAGTGACAACTGAAGGGGGTGACAAGATAAAGAACCTCTCACGGCTAAACTGCTTTTAAATGCAGTTCAGCTCATTTCCCCTCCGAGTGCTGACCAACTGCTTCTGAGATATAAATGCTTCTTTCATCACATGCACGGACAGCTCGGCGCAAGGCAGGCCAATAGCCAAGGGCTTCTAGCTGCTTCTGCACTGCAAAAAAAAAAAGCAGTAAGCCTGGCAAGCCCAGGGCACCCTCAGCCAGCAAGCCTTCCCCTCGCTGGAAACCACCAGTCTCAGCACTAGCTGCTCATCGTGCTGCAGTAAAAGGCCCACAAGCTTCCAAGTGCCTCTCCACATCCCTCAGAACATGCACCTAGGTGTGCAGTGTGGCTGTGTCCCACCTGTCTGAGATGTTTCACATCAATTTCCTACTCTCAAATTGAAATCAATTTAAAAGTTCTTTTTCTCCAAAAATAAGTCAGACAGTCATAAACTGCAAAGGCAATCAAGCCATTTTTGTTTGCCATTTACAGCGGCCCTCCGTCCTCAGGGTCTCCAGCGTAATCAGACCGTGATGCAGCATCCTCCAAAAAATGTTCTGCTCGCACTCCAAGGAATGGGCATTGCAAGACAGCTGCGAGCTGATGGTGCCTGTTTAAGGAGTTACAGAGCAGCTGAGAAAGCACTGAAAGATCTCAGCTGCAGTCAAGTTAAACCAGGTAACACCTCACAACAGCTGAGTGCACAACAAAAAAMCATCTTTTCAGCAATCAGCAGGAAATACAACTGATCCTTACTTTTAGTTCTCTGTTACTCAGCCTCTTTCTCTCTATGACTGTCCAGGAATATTTATGAATCAGCAAGATTTTTATCATGCTGAGCCAAGGAAGTCCTTGAGACTTTTTTTTCTCCTCTGTGAGGATCATCCAGCAAATGAAGCCCAGAACATCACACCATCTTACCTGCTAATACAGTAGAAAGCAATAAGCCTGAATAAATCAGCAAAACTTATTCCAGAGCCCTCCAAGGAAAAGGCTGTGAAGAAAGACACAAGAGGAAAAGAATCATACATTCACCCACTGGTTCTTAGAAAAACTTAATAAAAAAATGTTAATTTTCTGAAGGAAGGAAAAAAAACCCCACATTTGAACCATTTTGGCCACTGTTTGATTAATCACACATAACTGCAAAGAGCAGCATGTGTCTCTCCTCAAGGTGTTGTAAAGACTGTCTCGAAAGTCTTGGTAGCGGGTTTGTTTTTGCATTCCAAAAATATGTTCTCATTCTTGGGAAACARAACAAGTGGGATTAGAATTGCTTAACTTCTTACTATCAGACAAACCAACCACGGAGGTTTTGCTTCACCTCGTGCACCAGTACAGCTAATTTTAATCATTTCCCTTCCTTGCGGGCCTTCCTTCTCATTTGTCTACTCCCCACAGCTGTATTAGCACATAAAGGCAAACAATGAATTTCCATTCACTTGTCACCTTTGAGAAAACCCAGACAATTCCGCTTCACAGCCACTGCCCTGAGCTCAATGTCAGCTCATCATTCCTCCCCCCCCGCCCCAGTAAAATGGTATCAAAACTCTTCTAGCGATCCTCTCTAAAATGCTACCCTGGAATAAAAAAAAAAGAATAAAATAAAATATAAAAAGCATATTTTTTCCCTCCAAATCATTCTTCCTTGTTGTTATAAATGCCTGTTCACATCTATACTAAGTACCTGGCACTTCAGTAATATTAAGCTCTCTCTGATGCCAGCAGGTAAAGAAAYTGGGCCATGCTGGTCGTTTGTGTGCTCCCAAAAGGGAATTTATTAAAAGGCACATTAATAATACACAAAATAAATGGGAAGGTGATCCTGCAGGAGGTTTAAGAGAAGATGCATGTGGAGATCCCAGATTACAATGAAAACCTCAACTGTGGCCAGTAGAAACATCAGTGGATACTTCCCCCTTGTGGTAAAGTTTTATGCATTAAAGGCAATGCAGTACTATTTGATTTTCTAAAGGGCAGAGAGGGAATTCATGAGTGTAACAAGCCTAGGGACACAGCCYTCGATCACACAGATTAAATACTAAAGTTGAAGGTTTTCTCTTCTTGTTTCCAACTGAAACCTCGTTTCCAACTGAAACCCAAATCAGACTCATAGAATTAATTTTCTCTTGGTGAGGAGGGAGGCRAGAGGTAAAAAAGAGAAAATAACCAAAGTTAACTCAGGTCAGTAATAGGATAAGAGAGCTTAACTGCACATGGCCACTTAGCTGAAATTATTGATGATTTTATTTCCAGTTTCCATTGTCCTGTTAAAACAAGCCCCTTTTTTGGTAGTTTCTGTACCACACAAGCTCACCAGCTGCAGCTTCCRTTCCTCATTCCATCATTTCAGCATCATTTTGCCCTCCTCTCTCTGCAGACATGAGTACAGTACATTTTCCTAAATCACAGGGATTCTGCTGTTTGCCATTTTCTGCAGAGGTGAGAATCTCCCCACAATAGCCAATACATCTCCAAACGATGATTTTCTGCTGCAGGTTTCACCTGGCTCGTGCAGGGTGACCACTATCAGGAAGGTCTGTTTTTGGTAACTTACTGTATGTGCTTTCTTTTATTGCAAATTCTTTCAGGCAGGACCCGCATTCACCAGGCAGGCGCAGAGAAATGACCTTTTTCTGCAGTCTTGCTGACTTCCTAACCAGAAATATCTGTGGTGGAGAAGGGAAAAGGATGGGRTTCTAGCTTCATTAAAGATATATGAAGGAGAGACAGTCATTATAGCAAAAAGAAAAAGAACCCCCAAATCTGTGATTTCCTGGAGGAAACACCTCCCAGTTTCACTCCCTGAACAACTTGGTGCAAAACAGAATACTAAATAAACTRAACTAAAATAAAATAAAAAAATGGTTTTAACTTTGTATAACACAGGCTGACAACATCCATCACAGCCACCTGAGAGCCACAGTTCAACCCACAGCAACCCCAGTCCTGGCTGAGGCCGTGGAGTCTGGGGCAGGTGGATCCCAGCCCAATGGCCTGCCTCTTCTGACCTGGCAGAGAGAGGTCAGGAGGGTGCAGAAAGAGCCACCAGCCTTATCTGAGCATGCAATGCCTGGCTTCCCTCCTGGCAACTTCAGTGGGACACTGATGAAGAAGAAAATGTATCAAACACCCTATATTTTAGCAATTCTCTCTCTGTGTGAAATAGATCTGTTATAGTCCTGCAAAGCAAGGTCTGCTCCAACAAGGAATCTGCTCCAACTCTAACAAGTGCTCCAACAAGGAGTTCCAACTGCAGCAGCTAGGATCTGAGCTCCTGCAGACCCCAAATTAATCTTCACCCTAGCGAGAGAAAGTACCCAAGAAACAGTTTATGCAGCAATAGCTGCAACRCGCAATGAGAGCTACGACTTCTCACCCCGGGCGGCTGGCTCTGCAGGATTGCTGCGGCCTCAGCATCACTCAGGCCCAGCTGCAGCCACACGGGGTGCGTGTGGAGCAGCTTGTCTAAGATGCTGAGCTTGTTGGACAGGCTGTCATAGCCAGAGTCCCGGGGACAGCCTTTCACCTCCTTTTTCTCGGGAGAGCCATTATCCATCGCCTTTACTCGGCTGCAAAGAAGAGAAAAAATATAAATTAGGCATTTCCCCTAAGCAACACTCAATGCAGCAAGCAGCATTGCCACAATGCTAGTGGTGCTGCTGGCATCCCGGATGCTGTTTCTTCTCATGAGAACTATTGTTATTATAGGCAAAGTTCCCCTTTCCTGTATGCTGCTTCTTGTTGAGTCACCTTCAGTTTGACAGCTAGCTTTAAGTTAAGCCTTAGCGTTTTCCCTCAACTTGCTGAAGTCACCTCAAACACAGGCACGCATCCAGGCACGCATAAACTGATTAAATGCTTAACCCCACTCCCTTGTTATGTTGGTTTGGGGAGAGATGTCTCTTCCGAGTGATATTCGTGCAGTTCTGGTATTTTTATTCCCAGTGAGAGTGGGGAAGCTGCAGTGCTCAGAAACCTTTGCCTGGTCGCAAATGCGCTCACTGTCCGCCAAGCTGCTTATTGGCCATCCCAGCACCAAACATGATTCTCCTTTGCTCTGTGCCCCCAGGGATTTTTCTTGCAAAGGAAAATCTGGCGAAACTAACCTCACTGCAGATTATACTGAGCCCAACCACCATCACCTCTGCTGGTATTTTTGTCCAGGAAGGGCCTTACCACACAAGCTAGTGCTATGGTCTGCCCTGATGCCTCCTCCACAAAGCAGTCATACATTTGTGCACTTGTTTCCTTCAGTCCTGGACTGACTGCTGTGTAAGGAACGAAGTCAAAAGCTGGACTAAGTGTGAATTTGGCACAAGTATTTAAATTGAGGATATAGTTAGGGGCAGCATAGTTAAAGTTGCGGCTAAACATGGTAATAAAGAGTAATCCCTGCAGGTTCCTGATTTCTGTTGAGTTTTACAAATCTAGAGAAACTGAGTAGTCCAAGAGTTGCTTGAGTTATGCAGAGCTTCCCCATCACCCACAACCCACAGGACAACTGGGTCAAAAAAGGAAAAGGGAAAAAAAAMCCTACTTTTTTTTCTAGCTTTGGGTAGCATCTTGTGGCATCTACAGGCAGGGGTGGAAGGGGAAGTAACTGGGTGCACACGTGTGGGTGCTTGCTCACTCCTTCCCTGCATGGTCAGAGGCAAAATGGGGCACCAGGCGAAATTTTCACGACCCGCAGCAGTCATGAGCACTGGGTGAGCACCGGCCTCTCCCTTCCTTCCAGTCTCCTCTCCCTGTTGTTTATTTATGCTGCCTTTGAGGATTCTGTCACCCCTGGGAGAGCAAAACTCTTGCAGATGAGATGTAGCTGAGATGTTACGTCCTTGAAACCGGCACAGGGAGAGACGAACCACTCGGAAGCCACAGAGATACCAGATTAATGCAAGCAGGATAACTGCTTTGCTGCCCTGGCAAACACACAGGAGCCACGCGCAGCACCCTGCATGGAACTGGCTAATTCCTCTCCTCATCTCTTCATGGCAGCTCCCAGTAAAACACAAACCAGGCAGGTGACGTGAAACCAAACACTAAGCTCATGTGCTCGGAGGGGCTGCTCCACCAGCCCCTCCTGATGATTTCGGCTCTCCTAGGGATATCAACACTATTCACAGCAGATTAATGAGCATGTGTGATTCAGGCAGGTTTCCTTAGTTTTAGGAAAGCCCACAAGCGCAGGGGAAGTAACCAAGGATAATGGCCTTGGGGATGGTCTCCTGAAGCCTGCAGGTGGGGACGGTCTCCTCCTTCCTACCTGCAGGGCTCCAACGCAGGCCCCAGTTGCCTCCATGCAAGGCAGGGGCTCCTGTCCTCCTGCACACACCCCACTCTGTGATTTTTAACTCCAGTTCCAGCTGTATTTCTCGTTCCAACCTCGTGACTGAAACTTTGAGCTTTCCTTCCCCTTTTCATCTGCTCTCCCACCCTGCTGGAGCTCCCGCATGGACAGACACTGGCCTGGGAGAGCAGGTCTCCCTTTGGGAGCGCTCACAGGTGATGCTGCACCCAGGACGAGCAATGTTCACTGCACTGCCCTCAAACTCCACATTCCAGGACCATCCCACCACTGGAAACAGTGGGAGAACCAGCGTGTCCTGCTGAGGATGTGTCCATAGCTCCTCACACACCAGGACCACGTTATCCAGGGACTGAGGGAGAGGCAGAGGATCCTTTTGTGGTGCTGCCAGGAGGATGTTTGGCTCCGACCCAGCAGACGCAACTCAAGAAGCCAGTGGAAAAAGGTGGAAAACAGTAAGAGATGAATAGACATATGGGCTGTCTAGCGTAAAGCATGAAGGATACGGGAATGGTCTGAAGTGAGAAGCAAATGAGAGGAACAGACAACTCTTCGCTCAAATTTTCTCTAGATTCAAATCCAAATGCCCTGTAAAGATGTTAGCTTCTGAACAACAAAACAGACAGTATAAAACAAACAAGCTACATTAATCCCAAATTTTATTTGGAGTTATTTTTAACTCCAAGGGTAAAAATCGCCAGAATAGGAAACACATCCTTTCTGGAAGCCTGGTTTAAATGAGCATCCTCAAAACAAAGCTGAAATGCCTGAAATCTTGCCCGGTAATTCTCAATAAACAAAATCTATCAGCGTACAACTAATTATATAACAAATTTCAATACAACCTTCACCAACAGAGAAGCATAAACTTGAGGTGTATATAGTCACATAAAGTTTATCTTACTTTACATATTCGGATTTCATATTTTACATCTATCATTTTTAAAGGGTTTTTTTTATTGGCTGCCTAGTTTAATAACAAGTTCTATTTCTATGTGAATCAGAATTCAATTAAATGCTCAAAGAAACTTAGGTTAATTTTACTTGCATGTTTTAACCAAAATACACATTGCACTCAAAACTGAGTCAACAAAGAAAAAAGACAAGTTTTTTATCTGTAAAATAGAAGATTTTGATTGACTGTGACCAGCTAAGTGCTTCCACCAAGGTTTGGGAACTCACAGATCTACGTTTCWTTCAAAAGTTGCTTTTTCTCAAGTGACAATTAGCTAACAGTCACTGAAACTAATTAGCTGAATCCTTTAAAATGGAGAAAATATCCTTTCTGTCCCTGGAAACTGCTGTAAGGAGCTTTTCCACTCAGACAACACATGACCAGCAGCTTCGCCAAGCATTAATTAATCCCCTCGCCTGATGTTCTTCACTGCTCGGGCAAGAAACGTGCTGCTCAACAGGTAAATTAATGCACATAATTCAAACACAACACAGCAAGACGTAGCACACTTCAAAAGTATTTATGGAGAGAAAAAAATGATAGCTAAAACCGGACAGGCAATTCTTAATGAGGTGGATAATAGTTATTCAATCACCTCCTAGTAAAACACATGCTAGGAATAAGACCTGCCCACTAAGCGCAGGCAGATGAAACCTAATACTTGGCACAGGCAYGGGCAGCTTTCCTCTTGCAACAAATATTTTGTATTAAGGACACATTTTTCACCTTAATGTACTGAAGAAAATATCAGACACTCTCTGGATTTGTCAATTTGTCAAACAGCCACTGACAATCAAACCCCACAGTCAAAATACCCACTATTCCCCCACTCACAGTAACAGGCTTCGACTGCCGGTTTCTGTAGCCCTTAACCTGCGTGGTACAATTTAACAAAACCAGGACTTCATCTACCCTATAATAAATATCTTAAATCATTTTAAAGTTAACCAAGTGTATCCATCTGCTACTTTTCACATACAGGATACTCACGTGAAAACCAACCTGAACTCCCGCCCCACATGTTCCTACGACACAAGTCAGCTCATGCCACTATTTTACTTGTTAAGCTGAGCACATAAGCTGTGTTCTTAGACAAAAGCTTTCCTGTGTTGTCACCGAGCAATGTGGCCTTGCAGCCTTCACAGGGTGCAGGCCAAGCCTGCTGCCACAGGAATAACCTCATGAGCCTCAGGAATATCCTTGGGAGCCTCAGACACTCCACCAGGGCCCAGCCTTGCAACAAGGCAACAAATTCAGCTGCTTTTACAAGTTACCGAGGCAAAAAGGGTAGTAGGCAGCTCCGAGCCCCCCGCTCTGGCCGCCTGGGAAGGACACAGATGGACCACAGGGATGGACCATCCGGGAGCTCCAGGCAGGAACATTTTTCTCCCGTTACCTTTGCAAAGAAGCGGGTTCATCCTCCAAGGCGAGATCTGTCTGCACCATCTCCTGTTTCAGTTCTCCGATTTCTGAGGCGATTGTGTCAATGAGCTGCAAAGGGACAAAAATAGAAGGATGTCAAGAGGCGGGGAAAGGGAGCCCGGGTAAGTTTAGTCACCGGAGATTACAAATTATTATTATTTTTTGTATCCCATCCTATGCGGACTTCCCCTTGTAAAGGAAGAGGTTGGGGACACTTAACTCTTTCCAGAGAGAGAGAAAATCTCTTTTTTTGTGCCTGTATAAAACYTTCCAGGCTGGATGTCTTTCTCCATTTTTAAATATATTAAACGTGTGGTCTAAAAAAAAGTAATTTTAAGATCACATCTAAAATGAGGATGAACCAGGCCAAATTTTGAAGCAACCATGAAAACAGTGAAATGGAAATGACAAGTTCAAGCACGTGATTACTGCCTGCAAACCCAGCGCAGGGCTCGGTGGTGAAGCCACAAGCAGGAGGTCTCTGCTCCACTGGCACCTGATCCGGGTGCTGGGAGCCCCGGCGGCGGCACAAGCCGGAACAAGGAAGCTTCTCTTCTACCTTGTGAGAGAACAGGAGGGGTGGACGCATCAGCTCCATGAGAGCTGAACCTTGGAGAAGAGGACACAGAACAACCAACTGCAGCCCCAGGTAAGAGAGTAACTGCTCCTACCTGGTCCGGTGGTTTTAACTGTTTTTTCATATGTCATCTTCCAACTTGCTTTAAAGAATGAACTCTGCTCTGAAATAATGTTCCAGTGCCTTATTTGTTGTCCAGATGTGTGAAATGCAAGAAAAACCCTAATAAACAGCAGCTCAGAAACCTATCACTTGCTCTTGTGAAATAATGAGTGCGACAAAATATGGGAATAAAACAGGGCATCCCTTTGATCAAGAGAACCACCCCAGAGCGAGCCACAGCCTACTGGCAAAAATTAAGACTTCCTCTTTCTGGATTAAAACAAAACAACCCCAATCAGAATTCCCATCTGAGCACACTTCCTTGTGGGACATGCAGCCAAGGAGCCTGCTTTGGTAAACAGGTAAAGCAAGACTCTATCGAAAGCTTTAAAGAAACTTGAGGAAAGTTTGCATAGTTTCTTTCTTTTCCAACCTTGTTGAAAACAGAAGGGAAAAAAAAAAAGAAAAGAAAAAGAAAAGACTTTGCTAAACCTCCTTGGGCTTTGTTTGTGAGGAGGCTGASATTAAAGGAATCAACCCGCTAACGAGAGCGGCCGCTCTCCCTCTGCGGGTATTTGTAGGCATTTCTTGCACGCTCGCCCCGGATTTGGCCTCTTTCAGGCAACTTCCCTTTAAATCCTTGTCTGGGGAAGACACTTGCCTGTATAGAACTAAGGCTCTTGGGAATAACTGTTTGGAAAACRGCCATGAAACACGTATCCTCTTCAAGGATGTAACACGAGGATGGCTACATGGCTTTATCTTCAAGATATTAAGTCACCTTCATGCTTTTTGTGTTTCTGCCTCTAGGAGAAAGTCCCACAACATCTTTTCCAGAGCAGAATTTTTCTGGATTCGGTGAAATTTTCCTCCTTCATAAATAAATAATTAAATACTGCTCTTTTCCCACGTCAAAAAAGTCTTTAAGTCACGTGGAGCTTGTTTGCCATTAACTGCCCTGCGGTTACTCCAGCAGCACCTGACCCATTCCTCTGCATCCAGCACCTGCAGGGCACAGTCATGGGTCCGTAACACCGGTCCCRAGGCATTCGGCACGACCAGAACTTCTGCTCCTGACGCAGCCCAAGGGATGCTCGAATGCCCAGCGTGCCTTTTAAGAACACACTTCCAGAGCCACCTCCAGGATTCCTGGAGATCCTTGGGAGAGGCGTCGCGGGAGCCGGGCTGCTCCGCAGCACGAGGCTCCGGGTGTTTTAGTTCTCYAGACGTTTTGCTCTGCTCGCAGGATCAACATTCCCACTTGGCTGGGAATAATGGAGAAAGTTTCTCATTGATTTCAAGGGACTTGGAATCAAGGCCAGAAGAAGTGGTTTCTAAGGGGAATATGATTGAAGTAGAGGGARGTCGGAGGGCCCCATTAGTATAAAATAACATGCACGAACCCCAAGCCTTCAAAACRGATGTGGAAAAAAAATTTTTAACAGATGATTTAGGGCTAGGAAAAAACTGCCATTACTCGGATGTGCTATAGAAAAAAAAGAGGTTTACATAAAAAGAAATGTATTTGAAAGCATCACATCTTCTCAGATGAGTAGTTAACAGCAAGAAAAAGAACTAAAATGAGAAAATAACTAATAAATACACAAGGTGCTAAATAAGTGGTTGTTTGCCTGCTGTTTTTCTTSTTTGGCTACGCTCTTCTGTAAGTGAGAAACTACAGCTCTTCTGCTCCGCCAACTGTTGTCAAGCAAAATAAAACACAACCGCTGCAAACCCAAATACTCATGACTCAGAGAGCGTGAAGTCACAGCAGCCCAGCACAACATTCCCTAACCAAGCCTACCCAAAACAGCAGATTGCCCCAAAMTACCAAAGCACTAACTGTTTACATTCCTAAAATCCAGGGATGGAAGCAGGGCATGGAAGCAGCCTCAACCCCAGTGCATTTTCTCCCCAATGCACCACACASTGGCTGGCACCAGCCGAGCCCGGTGCCTCCAGGCAGCCTGGGATCTCCCCTTCAGGCATTCGGGGTCTCCCCATCCTCAGCGGGTCAGGTGGCTCCAGCCCCAGTTTTCTGGGCACAAGCGGGCCCCGGTGCTTGCCAGCGGCTCCTTCTCCCTCCTCCGGAGCCCTGCATCCTCTTTGGCACCTCGTCCTGGCCTTCCTGTTTGGATAAGCAGAGCACAGCAAGCSTCAAAGGGCACCCTGTGCGCGCGGCTGGGAGCGGCCCAGCGGCACGAGCCGGGCTCCGCGCGCTCGTCCAGGGCCCGTCCAAATGCCAAATATTTTGCTACGTGGCTGCTCTTTCTGGCTACTCCACACAGCGAGTTTCAGAGGCCCCTAACGTTATTCTGCATCTTATTCCTCGCTAAGGAGTGCGGGTTTTGTCCAGGCTGGATCTCAGCACAAAAAAACAGCAATGGTGTTAACGTTTCAGACGTCACTGCTGCGCAGTCTGGAGCTTAATATTTTGATGAGGAGAAGGATGATTCAGTAAGAAAGCTGTTTGTCAGAGACTCGYTGGCTCTGAGCCCTCAAGAAAGTGCTGCTTTTAAAGACTTTTGGCAGAATTTGGCCTCTAAAAACACAGGCTTTCGCTTTTGGTAGAAAAGGGACAACAGACTTTTCCTACCATACCAAAAGTTGAAAGAATCCATGTGGGGAAAAAGAAAACAAAACAAAGGGATGGTTAGAATTTCAGCCATGCGGGCTATTTAAGGACAACCAAGGAGAAACAAAGCAAACTGGCATTTCCCACTGGCATGCGCCAACAAATTTCCTAGCAAAGGATACTGAAAATAGCAAGACTGTTTTTTTTATGAGCACTTGAAGTGCCCTGAGGCAGCGCAGCCCAGCACACTAGAGGTATTTTGGGCAACCTCAGGCTGCCCAGGACAGCCCAAGCTCAGAAGCAGCCTGCACACACAGGCTGCAGAGAACATCTGCAGCGCTGGTTGTCACAGGCAGGAGAATCTCTCCCAACGACCAGGTCTCCAAAACACAAAGGGAGAGAAAGAAAAAAAAATTGGCATCTAAAGAACACATAAAAAAAGCTGACAAAATGGTAGAATTAGGCACATAAATAATGTGATAGTATATGAGGATGAGAAATCTGAAAAGGTGCCTCTGAGGAGGCAGCTTTTATTCCCACTGTTGTTCAGGCCTGGGAAAGTTCGGAGCAACCTCAGAGTGTCTCAGCTGTCACTCCTGCAGCCTCCGAGCGCACTGGCATTACAGCGCTGCTCTGCCATGGTGCTGTCCTCCTCATTGAGCAACTCCTTCCATCGTATCAGCGTGATCAGGGGAGGTGCCCAGAGCTGCCTTTTCCACGTCTCTAAACCACCCGAGAGTTATTCAAGGTGAAGACACTGATGCCCTACAGAAAACACCTCAGATGCTCCCTACTATTCCACCGACATCATTATCCCTCCAGCAGACGCCTCAGCGGAAATCTGGAAATAATCTTCACAACTGAAATAGTTTCTCACTGAGATCTGAAGGCCACGGCCACTCACCCCATCCATCCAGCTGTGGCCTGCTATCCAACAAGGTAACGTTTGTGCTTCTGAGAAACGGGACCTAACAAGAGCATGTTGCACAATGGCAAAGCGGCTGCTGTCCCCACATGACTCCTGTTTACTGCTGACCACATGAAACTCGGAGCAAGCCAAAGAGGAGAATACTTAGTCACTGCAGCACCAATCTTCCGTTTTCTTAAGGACTGGCCTGAGGAAACTGCCTTGAGAGGACGTGCAACATGTTACCGTGTGTCCRGGAGCCTGTGGCACCTCAGGCTCGCACCAAGTTTTGTTAACTTGGTGCCCAGCGAGCAGACTCCGAGCAAACCACAGGCTTCTCTGCAGCAGCACGAGCCCTGCTCCAGAGCTCCCTTGTCAGGTGCAGGGAGGACAGAGCTCACAGCACTCGGCGTCCCTGAARGCCGTGCCAACGGCTCCAACCCCACATGCGCCTCTGGACACGCAGACGTGGCCCGAGRTGCAGCTCCAGGGTTGTCAGCTCTCCAAGGGCTCTCAGCCCTCTGCGGGGAAGGACCAGGGGGGTTCCCATGTCAGAAAGCCCTAGACGGCTCCTCCCGAGAGGAAAACCCGCCCAGAGTGGGAGGCAGAGGTGAGAGAGCAGAAAGGCTCCTACCTGAAACCATGAAGCAGCAAGTGGGCTACAYGCCACAGGGAGAGTGCAAGAACACCAAACGAAACGGTTTCTGTTTACTCGATACAGCCGCAGGAGTGCCAGAGCAGAACCACCAACCTTCAGTGCCAGCAGGGCCTGGCTCCGTATCTCACAGGAGGAAGGATTAGTTCCCTGCTCTGTACTAGGCTCAGACCTGCACCGTGTTGAGAGTCCTGCAGTGAGCTGCACACCGGTGAGATGCACTTACACTGCAGTACTTGAATGAAGCAATAATAATAATAATAATAACAATAAGAATAAACCGATACACGCACATGGCCACTGCAAAGACAGTGTTTCTGTGAGTGTTTGGATATCACAGAACCAAAGAGTCCCCCTGCCCCGAGTGRAACTATTCCAGAAATGATACAACTTTAAACTACACAAATCCAGTTTATGAAAGCTCTGCTCATATTCTGCCTCTAATAAAGCTCTTAGTATCAGCTGCAGAGAAAGCCACAAGCCCTTTGGTACCAGATATTCTGTTAAAGGTACAGGAAAGCCACACACGCGCACCAGGAGCCGCCAAACTTCAAATAAAACCTGACCAAAGAGATGGTGAGGGAAACGCTTCCCATTTTACAGAAAAGATGTGCTACGCAGGACAGATGCTGTTACACTTTATGCAGTGCTAGCTGCACAGCAAACCATGTGCTTGATGTTTTGGGTTGGTCAGAGATGTAAAACCCAGAACAAGTAAAAAAAAAAAAAAAAAAAAGTTTTTTCAGGCTCTTTAGCAGCTCTTTACAGCTGCTAACTAACTAACAAAAAGCAAAAATGCAAATGTGTTTTTAAATAAAAGCAAATGCATCCTCCCCATTACTGAAAATAAATCAAATAGGACATTTACCTTAAAGAAGCTTCCTCTCTTGTCCAGACAACGGGCTTCCATCGTCGAAGCCGACATCTTCCCCGGGAACACTCCTTCAAATGCCTTGAACTCCTAAAAGCAGAGACATTTTTCATGGTCAGCCCAGTCGGTAGGAAATGCCTCTGCAAGCCACAGCAGCAGTCACAACAAGCCCTCTGCCAAGATCTTTTTTCCGTCAACAACGCAGTGCCATCTATTTAATACCAAAGCCCTTACATATTCCTCCAGTCTATTATTTTCCTATGTAGCTCTGCAAAAAAGGGCAGTGCTCAGAGCTGCACGCTTCCCCCCGGCTCCAGGCCTGCATTTCATGTGCTCGTTGGGTTTTGTGTGCTCATTAAGTAAGGCAACCAACACACAGCGATTGCTTTGTTTGCTTGACCTCAGCCTGCAGCACAAACAGAGCATATGTTAGATTTAGAGCAAATGTTAGATTAGATCACAAGCCCTTCTCAGGGGTTACAGCTTTAATGGGGTCGAGGTGATATTTATTTTTTACTGCGAGGCAGAAAAAATAAATATCACCCATGTGGGAGAAAACACATTATCATAAATGGGAACCCCCCCCCGCCCCCAACCCTCAATGGGGAAGTAGCAGCAGCATTTTCCACTGACAGGTACGCAGCAGCCTGGGTAGGTACCATGAGAGCAGGATTAGTGACCTCCAGGAGAGCTTCACAGCTAAGCCAAACCTAACCYGCAGCTACGAGTGCCTTGCAGGATCGTGCGCAGCGAGATTCTCATTGCATTTAAAGAGCCTCCTTTTTGCCCCCTCACACACTGCGGGACAATAAAGCTGCTATTTCTGCAAGATCMAGTTAACTAAATGATAAATATTGCAATTGCAAGGTGTTAAAGGCTAAGGCAGAGGCACAGCTTTCAATGGGATACACAGGTAAATGCCAACAAATACAGGGAGCAACAAGAGGAACTAGATTACCATGGCTGCAGAGGAAACGTGAGCAAAAGGAGTGTCTAAGGCAATGAATTTGGAGAGTTAAATACAGAAACAGGAGACCTTCCTCAGCCTCATTTCTATTCCCCTCTAGCGCATTATGAAAAACACCAATCAGGCCAAATAGGACCAAGGGGGAGTTTAAAAAAGGGGAGTGGAAGGTTTCAGGAAATATCTGGCGAGCACAAACATGGGGAAGGGACGAGAGGAAAAAGGAGGAGCCAAGAACTATTTTCTCTTGGTGTTAATGTGCAGCACAAAATCCCTCCAGCCCTTCTAGGGCTCCCATCACCGCAGCCCTGGAAGAGGTCACATTTTTCCACGTAGGGGCTCTGATTAAAAAGCATTTGTGCTGGGCGGCTCAGGAGGCAGCCTGTTTTTAAGGCAGARTCTGCAGCCTCTAAAGGTGCAAAGCGAACACAGGAGGGCAGCCCCAAAGTTGCACTTAAAAATCATGGTTTCTTTCCAGAATCAGCATGTGTAAAAGGATAAAGCCCCGAAGCAGCAGTGCAAGCACTGAGATCTTAGTCACTTTACCTACAGCCCATCTGAGTGACTCGATGGAGCTGATCCTGGCTGAAGTCCTGGGAAGTGGGCGCCTTTGCAGGCGCTACTAGTTGGGCTCTACGTCTCCCTTTGCCATGTTGAGAACAGCAGCAAGGAAAGGCTGGAAATGGAGCTGCTCTTCCAGCCTGGGAAATACCAGACATTTTAAAGGCTCCTCCTATAGGAATTCAACCATTCCAAAAGTATTCAAGACTTGGCAGGGCTTTTTAATTAACAAATGGAAATGTTTTCTTGCAGTCAATTCTGAAAAGGGAATTTTCACTTGAAAGGTGGAAAGCCCCTTCCTGTTTTCTCAAGACTTCTGCCCATTCATGCACATTTGTGAACTACTCTACTCTCCTTCGCTCAACTTCACAACATCCTCCAGCCTCTTGAGGTCCCTTTGAAGGGCAGCACAACTCCTCACTCGTCCCAGTTTCTATTTGGCTACAAACTTGCTGAGGGTCCCGTCACACGTGTCATTACCATCACACCTGTTATTAATATGATGTTAAACTGCAGTGGTTTAACTGAGGTTAACTGCATCAGCCTGGCATCGATTTCTCTCTTTCCTTGGATCTTTTGATCTTTAAACATAAGATCTCCTTGGACCCCTTGGATCCTTCTTACCCTTCTTGGGTTTAAATCAGCCCTGATCTTCCCTCTCCACTTCTGTTTGGAATGGCATCATCTTAGCAATCAYTGTGACGGGGGCCCACAACTTTGGAGGCAAAACCAGATATTCCAAATTCTACATTTAGAGATTCTACATTTAGAGATTCACGAAGCTGGAGATCTCATGAGTGCAAGTATGGTGCCAGGTTAAGCTCACCAAGAAAAAGGGCAAGAACATGGATCGCCAACCCATAACCTCCTAGTGAAACACAGGTCAGCACGGCCCCTCGCTTCCACTCTGGATAGTCCATGGAGTCCCRGGATTTTTATGCTCTCAGGCAGAACCTGAGAGCAGAACCTGATCTTCTGCTAACCAGCACCATCCTGCAAGGCGCCAGGAACAGGCCCAGCTGCCACCTCCCCTGGGAAGSGGGGAGAAAGGGACGAGTCAAAGGGGCCCAGGCTCAGCCCTCTGCTCCAGACCCACCAGGATCAGAGCTGCCTGTGGTAGTGGAGGGTTCAGCAGCCACAGAAAAGAGAAATGCTTCATTTTCTTGCCAGAATGACCAGTGTTATTTGCAACACAAAAGTAGAAAAGAGATTAGGATAAAAAAAAAAAAAAAAGAGCAACTTTTGATACTATCCTTTTAATGACAACGCCAAGCCACAGATTTCACATGAATTACACCAGGGGTTTATGAGCACAATCATGTAGTTAAATTTGCATCTTTCTTAGTCATTAATCATCCCCTTTGCAAACAACGACTCCCTTCACAGGAAATCTCTTTTTTTTCTCTGATTTAACCACAAGGATGTCTACACGCAATACCACTACCAAAACAAGACTAGGCCAAGGTTTTAAGAGCTCATCTCATTTCAAAACACAACAGAAGTTTATCAGCTTCCACAGACATCCATAAAGAGGAATGCAAACATACACACACAGAGAAATRGTCTGAAATGGTCAGACACACAGAAATAGTCACAGAACAGTACAGGTCTCTAAGGCAGGAGAAAGAAGAAAGTTTCAGGCTACTGTTTTTCCTACCCAAAGTTCTGTGGCTGTAGGCTTCTCTATAGCTATTATTTATGTAACATTCTTATTACTACCTCTCTGACCATAACTCAGAGCCTGAACTGAGCCTGGACTTTGTGCTTCCCTGCTCTCCATGCAGCCAGATGGCTACAGAGCCACACTAGAAAATTGGCTTAGCAATTGGATGAATTTTAAGTGAATTTAAGTCAAATCGACTTAGGATGACCTAAATACTGAAAAACATCAAACGTGGAACAGTCTCTCCTGATTAAATTGGCTCAACGGGAAACACTTTCTTAAACTGACACTTCAGCACTGTCACCCCAGGATCTAGGAAAGAAACTGGACTTTCTTGTTTCTGTGGGTTGTAACAAAGAAGATCCAATTCAGGCTACAAAGTCTGTAAATAGACGTAAACACCTCTTAGTAAAAAGCATTTTGCGACAGGAAGAACATTCCTAAGAATTAGGGTTGGCTCTTCTTCTTCAACCATGGGCTAAGAGAATAGATAAAAAACACTGCAAATAACTAAATGCACCATCAAGAGGTTTCATTTCTCTACATGGCCATCTGCTTCTTGCATCTCTGCACATCCAGGCCRGTTCCCTCTGAACTGGCCCCTGCTGAACTCTCATAGCAAGAGACAGAGGAAAAAACCTCTATTTAGGGTTTGAGAAGCTTAGTGGCAAGAAATGCCCAAGCATGCTCACTTATACATATTCAAAACTGGTATTTTCTCTTTCCTTTATATTTCATGGACCGAGGTGGAGAATTCCAGACTCTGTGGATGGGTTTGGACACTGCTGAGCGCTCAGAACTCCATCTGAAATTCCAGCCATCCTCAGGCTGCACCRTGACCTCTGCAGCCTTGCTCCTGACCACACAAGGTGGCCCTTGCTGGCAGCAAGATCTACTCTGTGGTCCATGCACATCCTTGCTCTCCAGGTAAAACACAAGGCACTGAACTCTCTGAACACAAGGTTCAAGGTAAAACACAAGCCTCTGAAACACAAGGCTATCAACAACATCTCTCCGTGGACGTCAACTCCCCGGCAAGCTGCAGCTTCCAGTACCTTCTCCTCCTGCTTTTTGTCGAGGCCGGAATATCAGAGCATCACTCAGGTGCCTAATGAAACAGAGACTCTGCACTTTCCCTCCTCCCTCATATGCAAGTGTATTTAATGCTCGGGTTATTACTGTACTTACCAACAGTAGCAAAGAAGCAAATTGGTGTCTTCCCAACTGCTCATGATCCTTCCCTTCCTCCAACCATCTGCTACCCAGCTTTAGCTCCACAAGCCTCACTCCTGTTTTCCTTGTCTTAATCTTGCCTTTTTAAGGCAGCGATCCCATCTTCTCTATCCGTTAAGTCCTGGCAAAGATAAGAAGTCTATGCTCATCACTGAAGCCACAGGGCAATGGAGAGCTTGGAAGGTTTCCTAAGGAATCCAAGCTATCCAACTGCATCACCTTTCTCTTCCTTATTTCCTAACTGGGATTTTTGACCTCATAGCCAACCTAGCCCAAGCTGACAGAGAAGAGGCTCTGTTTATGAGCACAGGCAAAGGGTTAGAGGAGGAGACTACACAGGCTACCCCTGGAGAACAGGAAAGACTGACTGGAYGAGCTCTGGGATTTGGCCTTCCTTGGGCTGGCTACTCACAAAAACACAGCACAGCCTCCACAATAACTTGGTGCATTTTCACCATCTTAAAGATATCCCAGTTGCATCCCAGCAATTACATAAGTTAGTAAACATTCGGATTTTGGTCATTTTATGTTTAAAAAGCAAATKATGGCTTTGGATTCTTTTTGGCAGWTTATTAGCTTGTCTGATTATTTATTTAAGAAGTTGGTTGAACTAGATTATTTTGAGGTTGTTTGGAAAAATTGATAGGCTTGTTTTGCATTTAAAATTTACTGTGTCAAGAGGTGCTGTCCAAATGAGAAAAATCAAACAGACAGTATCTAAGAGCAACATTCTTCAATACTTTGAATGAGTTATTAGTTTGCAAACTGGAAGAGGAAATAAAGAGACTTCTTCCTGTAGTAACTAAACCCAGTCACTTGAGAGGAACTCACAGTTACCAGCTAATTAGCTCCCAGCATTGTGAGCACAAATATCCCCCAAGCAGATCATGATGGCCCAAGAGCAAGCCAGTGATGGTCAACATTGATGACCAAAGCGATGCTTTAGAAACACCCTCCCCTTACCAGCAGAACGTGTGCTCGGGCACACTCATGTATCCACCTTTTTTTAAAATGTGAAAGAAGACTTGGAAATCCAAGTAGATGCTTCAAAACACACCAGGAGACACAGGTAAAACTTCACACCTTCCAGTGAATTTAAGCAGCCTSATGCATTTCATGCCCCTGCTTCTCTTAGCTCACTCACATGGCCCCACAGAGTGGGCTGCGCTTACCTCTGATCCCAAAAGCTCTGCTTTGCCAAATTAGTCTGACCTTATCTGGGTCTTGGCAGAGCTGAACTTTTCCCTTTGAAAGTCTTTCCTTTGGGAGGCTGGCTGGAAAGGGGGGTGGGAGCGGGGCACAGATACAACAGAGCACAGTATCACTTTGAAAATCTATCAATTCAGAGCCTCAGCCTGAAAACTACCCTTTGGTGCCAGGATTTGGCAGCCCTCTTGACTCAAATGTTGCATTGTGTTAGCACAGCTGTATCCACAAGCAAAAAGCGAGGGGATTATGCGAAAAGGACTCGAACTTCCGCCATTCTCCTGGCTGCAGAAAGGGTTGACAGTTGCTGCTTTTCTTTTCTCCTGCCTCCAAATAATGCAAGGGCACATTATGTGTGCTTGCACAAAGCCAGGAGCGCGCCCAGCAAACACGACAGCAATCCAGGGTTTGCACGGGGCCACATCTTCCTATTTGGCATTTTGGTGAAGTCAGTTTGCAGTAAGAAAATTGTACTTTTTAAAAATTTATTTGTTTTAGAAAAAATGTGGAAAATAGAAAAGTATGAAAAAAAACAGCCYTTGATTAGTCTCCCAACAAGTGCTGATTTTACTTTCAGCTTTGCCACCTGAATGCAATGAGTTTGTGTGAACTACTTGGTTGCCACCAATATCATAGAATCMTAGAATCATAGAATGCCGAAGGTTGGAAGGGACCTCAGAGGTCATCGAGTCCAACCCCCCTGCTCACGCAGGGTCACCTAGAGCACGTGGCACAGGGCTGCATCCAAGCG